GTTTGTTGATGTGGTTCATAAGTGTTTCTCGTTTCTCGTTTTTTATATAGATTAGGCCGTTGGTTTTCCCGTTTGAATGGTTTTACACTAGTAATTTTTTGGGGCCCTTTATAGCTTACTTTTCGGTGTGAGCCAAGGCTCCGTGTTGAAGACCGTACTGTGACCTATAATGGTTTACTTTTATAAATTTTGACTTGGATGGAGAGTTGTCTCATTGGCACTCATACCACATCTTCTTATATCTATAGAACTTATCGATTATTCAAACCAAACTTTAATTTTGAGTCATACTTATTGAAATAACCATATATTCAAAGATGTTTTTAAAAAAAAGATTTGAAATTGTAGCTCACAAAGTTGATATAGAAAAAGGTCTGTAGTTTAAATTAAACTAGAAAATAGAATATGCAAACTATGTAATGAGGAAATAGAAGATGAGATGCGTTTTCTTTTAACATGTAAAGCTTTGGCTAAGGTTAGATATCTCTTTCTTAGCAAAGTGTTTAGTAAGAATAAAAATATTTCAAAACTTGATAACAAATCCCTTTTTATTTAGTAAATGGAAGATGAAGATAAAAACATGTTGACAATAATTTGTCAATTATTACAGGTTTTAAATAAATAGGGAAATACGATATTAAATTAGAGTTACTTTATATAGAGTTATAGATATATATGAGCATACATGCATTTACGGTAGTCGTTATTTACATTTAATGAATGTATCATTTTGTACAATTAGTACTTGGTTACTAAAACTAAAAAGAAATCCATCAGAAACTATTTCATGGAAAGATGTGTAGGAGGACCAATTGCAAACAGCAAGGATTTTTGGCCAACAATCAAGCCCTTCTTAACTAATAAAGGGTCACATTTTTCAAAAGATCTAATCTTATGTGAAGACAATAAAATAATCAATAATCAAAATGAAGTTACCGAAATATTTAATAACTTTTTTATAAATGTTGCCAAAGATATCGGCTCAAAAGATACAATTATTGATGAACACCATCCAAGCATTAAAGTAATTAAAGAAAACAAACCAGAAAGAGAAGAACTGTGTTTTAGCCCAGTAAATTCTGAGTTTGTAAAAAAACAAATCAATAAAATTAATATTAAAAAGGCAACAGGAAAAGATGGAATCTCTTCAAAAATATTAAAACTATCTAAATCTGAATTATCCAATCCAATTTCTCAATTAATAAATAAATCATTTGAATCAGCTGTTTTCCCAGACAAATTAAAGGAAGCACAAGTAATACCTCTGCATAAAATATCAAACACTCTGATAAAGGAAACTATAGACCTGCAAGTATATTGCCCATGATTTCAAAAAATTTTGAGAGGTCTATAGAAACTCAACATATGGAATATTTTAATTCTTTTTTCCAAATTTTTCTGTCAGCTTTTCGAAAAAGATATGGATGCCAAACCGTCTTATAAAAAATAATTGAAGATTGGAAAAAGGCTTTAGATCAGAATAAATATGTAGCAGCTATATTAATGGATTTGTCCAAGGCTTTTGATTGCCTACCCCATGACCTTCTCCTACTAAAATTAAAATCCTATGGTGTCTCCGCCCCTTCTCTTAAACTTTTTGAAAGTTATTTAACTAATAGGTAGATAGATCTTTATTCTCATTAACTAAATAACATAGTTACAGACATGAAAATATAAACAAAATACAACATATTAAGCATGTGTGAAATATACATAAATAAATGTAATTAAACCTGGAGGACAGACTTTCACTCATATATAGTTTATAAATCTACACAATTTTTCTAGTAAGACAATATTGACTGTCGTGAATACATTTTTAAATTTAAGAATATTAACATTTGTACAACAATAGTGTGGTAAATATTTATATCGTTCTTTTTTTTAAAAAGGACAAGACATTACATAATGGAATTCATCGCCGATGTCAGTAGATTCACAAAGGTGGCATGGTCTCTCGGGTCTTTGAACATTTTGCCACCTCCCTGTCTCCACTGGCAAACGGTGATTGTCACATCTAAATTAACATAGTATCAATGCATTATTTAACGATAAAATTGAAATATAATTTTCAAATTTAAGTTCTGTTTTGAATAATTTATAACATAGACCTTTTGATGATTGATTTACATTTGCAAGCCATTCTTGTCTAAACTGATCTTTTAGAAAACAGTGTGTTAAAGTAGGTACTAATTCAAGCTACTGGCAATCAATGTTTAAAGGGGTGCCACAAGGGTCTATATTGGGGTCGACATTATTTAATATTTTTTTAAATGACATTTTCTATTTTATTCATAAAAGTGAACTCTATAATTAAGCAGATGACAACACCCTTTCATACGCAGAAAAAGATTTAGATAAATTAATTAATACTCTAGAAGACGAAAGCAAAATTTTGATTAATTGGTTCTCAATAAATAAAATGAAAGCTACTCCAGAAAAATTTCAAGCGATAGCTGTAGGTAAAAAGAAAAAGTAAAGACAAAAACTTAAAATTTAAATTAGAAGGTAATGAAATAGAATGTGAAGATAACGTTAGACTTCTAGGTAAAACAATAGATTTTAAACTAAATTTCAATGAACATGTCTCTATAATATGTAAAAAAAGCATCTAAACAGCTAAATGTATTAAAAAGAACTGGAAAACACCTGACTAAACTTGGAAAATTAACAATTTATTATTCTTTCATAATGTCCAACTTTAATTACTGCCCACTAGTTTGGCACTTTTGTGGGGAGGTTAATACAAAAAAGATAGAGATAATTCAAGAAAGAGCACTAAGATTTATCTATGAAGACTATTCAGCAAGTTATGAAGATCTACTCTGCAAATCAAAATTACCATCTTTAAAATTAAGAAGAATGCGATCATTGGCTATTGAAGTTCTCAAAATTATTAATAAAGATTGTCCTGTTTATCTCCATGATTTAATACACTTAAAGGAAAACACTTACTCTTTTAGATACCAGAATACAGCCGACCTACCGCATGCAAGAACAACTGCGTACAGCCTACAATCTTTAAGGTATGCGGGTGCTAAGCTTTGGAATGAGCTGCCAGATGAGCTACGTAAGCAATCATCTTTAAATCAATTCAAGAACTTGAATAATTCTTGGTCTGGCATATCATGCCAATGTTTTGCCTGCAAAACCAGGTAATTCTGTTCATTATTTTTAGTTTAATGCTTTGTTTTCAGCATGGCAAAATTATTTTGTTATCTTTACTTTATAGTGCTTCTGCTGCTTTGTTCTACTTTTAGTTACTTAACTAATCTCTATGTGCTTTTTATGTGCAAACCATTTTATTTTTGCTTTTGTGTTTGTATCTCATAAGTGCATGCTTCAGTGTATGTTTAACTTTTAAGTTGCTTTAAAGAACTTTACGTTCCGCTATATAGATGATGTTCTCTCACTAAATAATACAAAATTTGGTGACTATGTTGAACATGTTGAACGAATCTATCCCATCGAACTAGAGATAAAGGATACTACAGATACAGTTAAGTCTGCCTCATATCTTGACTTACATCTAGAAATTGACAATGAGGGTCGGTTGAAAACAAAACTTTACGACAAAAGAGACGATTTCAGCTTCCCAATTGTGAACTTTCCATTTCTATGTAGCAACATTCCAGCAGCGCCTGCATACGGAGTATATATCTCCCAATTGATACGATATTCCCGGGCTTGTATTTCCTATCATGATTTCCTTGATAGAGGATTGCTGCTCACAAGGAAGCTATTAAACCAAGAGTTCCAAATGGTGAAGTTAAAATCATCCCTTCGTAAATTTTACGGACGCCATCACGAGTTGGTTGACCGTTATGGAATAACCGTTTCACAGATGATATCGGATATGTTCCTTATGTCGTAACTACAATACCCTTCCCTTTTCACGAATGTGGCCTACCGAAGACTATTTACCGGATTTGTAATAACATAAGCAATATGACGGGTGTCACATGTGGAGCAGGATCTACTTACCCTTCCGGAGCACCTGAGATCACCCCCAGTTTTTGGTGGGGTTCGTGTTGCTTAGTGTTTGGTTTTCTGTGTTGTGTAATCTGTACTATTGTTTGTCTGTTTGTCTTTTTATTTTTGGCCATGGCGTTGTCAGTTTGTTTTCGATCTGTGAGTTTGACTGTCCCTCTGGTATCTTTCGTCCCTCTTTTTGTGTTGCATGTTTATATATTAATATGAACTCTTGCTTTCTATGTTTAATTTATGTATGCATGACTTGATATGTATGTTTTGTTTTATTGTTGCTCTGTCGGTTTTAAAAGCTCTTCAGAGCTTTTTTGTACTTGTATGGCATATACCGACTTTAAATAAAGCTTTATGTCTTACAATGCGAGAAAGCCGAAAGGATGAAAGGATGGTGTTTTACAACTGATTAGGAATGACTCGAGTGGACCACTGAAAAAAATAAAGAACAGAAAACAATCATCACAGTGCCGGATGGTGCCAGTAAACTATGTATATATATGATATAACGAATACAAATTTTAAGAACAAAGTAAAACGAATGGAGAAAAAAGACTTAGAAGAATAAAGCGGAGATACATAGATTCCCCCCAAAAAATGCTGCGAGGGTACATTGGTATCCATGAACACTCACCAACAGGATAAATGGAGATGTGTTACTAACTTGACTATGTACAACCCACCATCAAAGACAAATCCCCAACCCAACACCACGGGAGTGCTAGAACACCGGGAAGTCTGTTATTATGGTGGAGGAAGCCGAAGTACTCGGAGAGAACCATTGGGCAACTCGGGGGCCACTTCAACCAACCGAGGCCCCCATAGTACCCATTGTGTGTGGGAGGGTGAAAATCACCCTTCTAAGATACTGAAATTTCCAGCGTATCCATCGGTCTTAACCACTAGACCACCATCCACCCAGTGTCCGGACTTATTTCACAAGTAAGTTCAGAATTTGTTTCAGATCTTAATATTAAACTAGAGTTATGTCCCTTTTTTACTACAAATAAAAAAGAAAAAAAAAGATAAAAAGCTTACGAGTTTCTTGCAAGCTATACAATTGCCACACAAGCTTTTGTTTGAAAATGTTAAAAAGATTGTTAATCATTTTTTAACAATGATTTAAAAAAACAGGAACTGCACTAAACCCATAGGTTGACCTGTGAGTGTGAGTTCAGGATCCAGAATGTCCTGAAATTTCTCTGTATGTGTATCCTTGAAGCTCCTGCCAGTAAAGTATACGCTGCCTGTAATTGACTTACAGTTATGTGGTTTAGGTGTGTATCTTTCTATCTATTCCACATGCTCACACTTCATATGTAACTTTAATACAATAGTTCAGGACTACTATGTGTGGTCATGGACATGGTTTAATATAGTACATGGTTGTAGTAGATACATGTACATTTGTGGTCTCAGCTCGGGCTGATCAATTAAATTTGCTGGTTCATCATGACCTAATTACAGACATGGCTATGATAGCGGCATCCACACAACAAACTTTCTTCTAAGTACAGAAATACCAGTGCATCTAGATCTGGAAATGATTTAACCCTGAAAGCTAAAACTTATTTTACTATAAAGACTTAAGATTCTGTTAAGTCATGTAAGTGCCAAGGATTATGCCTTGGATTTGACACATGCATCTGATATTCAATGTTGCTATTCATGCTCAATTTATTCACAGAAGCTACAATACTGTGATTACAGCTGCTATAATCATGATAATCCAAATACATGAAAATTCAAATAAATAAATTTTGAAACTTTTGAAACAAAATGAAATTGATGACTGAGATAAATTTATAAGTCTAAAGTACTTTGTTTTCAAGGTACACAATGATTTTAAACTGTCATAACTGTTAGCTGGGACTATTATACTAACGTTAGTATAATAGTCCCAGCTGTTAGCTAATTCATCGATTGTTTAATTTACAGCATTTTTACCATAATCTCCACAGTTTAAAATGTCAGATACTTTATTTGACAAACCAAAGAATTTTTCTGAGCAAGATGTGCCTGAGTCTGCATTTATAAGTATTGACTCCAATGGAGAAGACAGAACTAATGGTTTAAGGAGGCATAAAAGTGAAAGCTCCATTATCAGAAAGCGACAAAATCAAAGTTCTTTCACATCAAGTTTGTCAGAAAAGGATGTGGAGGAAACAAAAATCTGTAATAATTATAGAGTAAGTTTATGAATAAAAGAAGATAATAAGTTATAACGTTAAAGAGAATGCAACACAAATGACCAAAAGATATCTAGATAGTCAACGTACACTACAATCTTCAACAATAGCCATGTGTCTATACAAATATATATACATTTGTACTAAGCTAGATAGGGGATCAAATACAGTTGCATACCGTAAGAGTAAACCATTGGTGCGACTTTAAGTGTTACCATTCCCAACATCTTTACATTTTTGTCAGATGTCATGAGTGTAATTTTCTGTTATTTAAAAACCCTGCTTGAATGATATTTCGTATACATGATGCCCAAATTAATGTTTTTCACACACATCAACTATTACGCCTTTAAAATTAGTGCATTTGATTCTCACATTTGTAATGAGAAGTACATGATTTTGCCCTGATCATTGAAAGTAGACTATTTGAAAAGAGTTACACAAAGTCAAGTTTAAAAACGTACAGCCTTAGGTCACGTCACTTTTAAGCAAATTTGACAGGTTTATGGTTAACAATAAATATGTGTTAAAAGTCACAGGGCCCTTTAAATGAGACCACAGGAAGCAAGGTAGCCTGCCAAACCACCAAAGCTGGCAGGTTTGATTCAACTATGTTGGAGCCACAAAATGTATCTCGATCATCAAACTTATTGTTTTATTAAAAGAAAAGCATAAATTAATTAGTAATGAGACGATTCAAATACAAAAACCCATATTAAAGCTTTATTGACAATATTAATATTCACTGATATTAAAAAAAAATCGTGCATAAAAATTTCAGCCATATTTTGAGAATACTGAATCCAGTCGTAGTCATCTTTTGTAAAAGGTGACAAATTTTTAATTAAAAAATAACTAAAACTCAATGATGATCTAATAATTTGATTATTTGTATTAAGTTATATTGTATTGATAATTTGATACACTATGGAAATAAGGACTTTTGGTTAGCACTTGTTCAAAGCGTCAGTTCATAGTACTTAGATGTTGATGGTGATCAGATACCCTTATCTGAAAATTCTATAAATGTTTATGAAAATATAAAAAATTATGGGGTTAGCCAACAAACTTGCCTAAAATCTAAGATTGATAAAATTGAGAATGGAAATGGAGAATGTGTCAAAGAGACAACAACCCGACCATAGAGCAGACAACAGCCGAAGGCCACAATGGGTCTTCAATGCAGCGAGAAACTCCCACACCCAGAGTCGTCCTTCAGCTGGCCCCTAAACAAATATGTATACTAGTTCCGTGATAATGGACGTCATACTAAACTCCAAATTATACACAAGAAACTAAAAATAAAAATGATACAAGACTAACAAAGGCCAGAGGCTCCTGACTTGGGACAGGCGCAAAAATGCGGTGGGATTAAACATGTTTTTTGAGATCTCAACACACCCCCTATACCTCTAGCCAATGTAGAAAAAAACAAACATATTTGAGTTTTGAACAGCCCTTTTAAAATTAATTAACCAGGATAATCATATAGCATTAAAACTTGTTGAAAAATATAAACAATTTTAACAAATTCATGGTACATTTTACCATGAGAACAAGATATCTAGTCATTTCTTTCATTTTCTGGTAAATTGTATTGTACATTTTAGTTTGGATTTAAGAAATGGAAAGGGCATGTTACTCAGAGACCTTTACATAATAGATCTGAAACTGTACAGAATCTCTATGCTGATGTCAACAAGATTAAACTAGAACAAGGTCTGTATTTCATAGACAATTTTTCAATAGTCTTTCCTGACAGTTATATGATATAAAAGCCAAAGACTTCTTGTACATCATTTTTAGTTCACCTTAAGTTTAGAAAAACTTTTGTTTGCCCCTCCATCTGTGTGAGCATTCATAGAAACAATTTCAGTAATTTCAGTTATCTAGTAAGTCAGTTCATTTTGTTAACATAATGCTAAATGAACAGATTTACAGGACCGACAAAATTATCAGCCAGCAATATAAACATGTTTAATACAGCCATAAACTTGGTATGCATACACATCTTAGAGGCTGACAATTTACCATAAGATTCATGTCAAGGAAACCATATTCCATGATAATCCACAGTTGACTCAAAATCTTAAAGGGAAACTCCGCAAAAAAATGAAAAATTGATATGTTGTTCTTTAAGCATAAAAAACCACATGTTCATAAATAAAAAACTTTTATTCTCTATGTAAAGAGATCAAAATCGATTTTTGAAATTCACTATCAGTTCTCGACATATCGCCATCTTGTCGGCATGTTCGATCTAAAAAGTCACGTGATATCTATAAACCACAAAGAACAAAAAGAATCGGGGATTTACCGACCGTGCGTTAAAAACTCCCATCATCAATTGGGGATTACCGTAGACGGTTATTCAGTGTCAAATGTCTTGTCAAGCGTACGGTTGTTCTGTCAGACAAGGTTATGACAAAAGTCTACATAGTTTTCCCAATCCCACAAAAAAAGAAAGAATTGTATCAGACATGGTTGTTCAACCTTAAACTAACAGCAAATAGTTGCATCTATAGCAAGCACAAGTTGGTGTGTGAAGACCATTTTGAACAATATTGTTTCGAGGGAGATTCGATGGTAATTATCCTTTTTAGCTCACCTGGCCCGAAGGGCCAAGTGAGCTTTTCTCATCACTTGGCGTCCGTCGTCCGGCGTCGTCAGGCGTCGTCCGTCGTCGTCCGTCGTCCGGCGTCGTCCGTCGTCGTCCGTCGTCGGCGTTAACTTTTTACATTTTGAACTTCTTCTAGAGAACCACTGAATGGAATGAAACCAAACATGGCATGAATGTTCCTTATGAGGTGCTGACCAAGTGTTGTTACTTTGTAGCCGATCCATCATCCAAGATGGCCGCCAGTGGGGGACTTAGTTTAACATAGGACCCTATGGGAAATGCATACAAATGACTTCTTTTAGAGAACCACTGAATGGAATGAAACCAAACATGGCATGAATGTTCCTTATGAGGTGCTCACCAAGTGTTGTTACTTTGTAGCCGATCCATCATCCAAGATGGCTGCCAGCGGGGGACTTAGTTTAACATAGGACCCTATGGGAAATGCATACAACTGACTTCTTTTAGAGAACCACTGAATGGAATAAAACCAAACATGGCATGAATGTTCCTTATGAGGTGCTGACCATGTGTTGTTACTTTGTAGCCGATCCATCATCCAAGATGGCCGCCATCGGGGAACTTAGTTTAACATAGGACCCTATGGGAAATACATACAAATGTCTTCTTTTAGAGAACCACTGAATGGAATGAAACCAAACATGGCATGAATGTTCCTTATGAGGTGCTGACCAAGTGTTGTTACTTTGTAGCCGATCCATCATCCAAGATGGCCGCCAGCGGGGGACTTAGTTTAACATAGGACCCTATGGGAAATACATAAAAATGTCTTCTTTTAGAGAACCACTGAATGGAATGGAACCAAACATAGCATGAATGTTCCTTATGAGATGCTGACCAAGTGTTGTTACTTTGCAGTCGGCCCATCATCCAAGATGGCCGCCAGCAGGGGACTCAGTTTAACATAGGACCCTATGGGAAATACATACAAATGTCTTCTTTTAGAGAACCACTGAATGGAATGAAACCAAACATGGCATGAATGTCCCTTATGAGGTTCTGACCAAGTGTTGTTACTTTGTAGCCGATCCATCATCCAAGATGGCCGCCAGCGGGGGACTTAGTTTAACATAGGACCCTATGGGAAATACATACAAATGTCTTCTTTTAGAGAACCACTGAATGGAAAGAAACCAAACATGGCATGAATGTTCCTTATGAGGTGCTGACCAAGTGTTGTTACTTTGCAGTCGGTCCATCATCAAAGATGGCCGACAGCAGGGGACTTAGTTTAACAAAGGACCTATGGGAAATACATACAAATGTCTTCTTTTAGCGAACCACTGAATGGAATGAAACCAAACATGGCATGAATGCTCTTTATGAGGTACTGACCAAGTGTTGTTACTTTGCAGTCGGTCCATCATCCAAGATGGCCGACAGCAGGGGACTTAGTTTAACAAAGGACCCTATGGGAAATACATACAATTGTCTTCTTTTAGAGAACCACTGAATGGAATGAAACCAAACATGGCATGAATCTTCCTTATGAGATGCTGACCAAGTGTTGTTACTTTGTAGCCGATCCATCATCCAAGATGGCCGACAGCGGGGGACTTAGTTTAACATAGGACCCTATGGGAAATACATACAATTGTCTTCTTTTAGAGAACCACTGAATGGAATTGAACCAAACATTGCATGAATGTTCCTTATGAGTTGCTGACCAAGTGTTGTTACTTTGCAGTCGATCCATCATCCAAGATGGCCGCTAGGGGGGGGGCTTAGTTTAACATAGGACCCTATGGGAAATACATACAAATGTCTTCTTTTAGAGTACCACTGAATGGAATGAAACCAAACATGGCATGAATGTTCCTTATGAAGTGCTGACCAAGTGTTGTTACTTTGTTGTCGATTTACTGTTCAAGATGGCCACCAGGATATTTTATTAAATAACGGGACCAATATTAATCAAAATTTGGCCTCAATCATTATTTGGGTATCTGTTATGATTTTTATCTATCTTTACATGATTTCTAAAACCAAAGTAGAGTCAGGTGAGCGACACAGGCTCTTGAGAGCCTCTAGTTTAATAACAAAATAACCTAGCAGTTCTGATAGCTATAGTTATCAAATCCTTATATGATAAGATCTCATTGAATAAAAAAAATATAGATTTGATGATGAAGAACAGTTTCAATTATAAGAAAGACAAATGCAGTGTTCTTGTAACAATCACTGATTTACAGAAGATTCATTAGTATGCCTCTTTTATATAAAGTGCATTGATTTGTATAAAGAATAGTTCCGTATTTAGACAAGATAATTTTTCAATTAATAAAGTTATACGATATAAAATAACTTTTTTTTAATTATGATATTTAACGGCTATTGACAAGGAGCAATGTTAGGAAGAGGTTTTAGCTGGGACATAATATGTTGATATAGTATAATATTCCCAGGTTATAGATATGTAAAAATCGAAATATCGGACATCTAAATTTTTTTTATTAAAAGTGTTTTTTTTTTTAGCTAATCTTTAAATTATATCAAATTGATACGGGATCAATTCGGAACGGTCACTTATAAAGACACTTAGCTTTACAGTTAAATGTGTGACTCTATCTGGTATGTTCGGTGAAAAATTTATAGTTTTTTTTTCTTTTTAAATTATATTTACGTTATCTTATTATATATATGTTTTGGCTTCCTCCCGAATTGATAATAGGTATGTCAGAATTATTGATAGATGTCGTGTCAGAGCGACACATTCCGTTAGGTATTCCAAGGACGTATATTAGATACACGTCCCTGGGTATTCCAGTGACATCCTGTCATGTGTGCACAGGTAACATTTATTGAACCATATATTTGTGTCTAACGTTGTTTATCTTGTGTGTGTTTGAAATTATAATTCCACCTTTTAATGAATGATGTTCTGATAATAATATTATCCACTAGTTTTGCTGATAATAAGTTTAAAAAAAATTATAAACATGACCTTTGAACATTTTTGTGAAATGAATATTGTTTTGTCATGATTCAAGACCATATTTTTGAAGAAAAAAAATTCTTCACGCAAATACAAGCTTTTGTCTATTGGCAAACATGCAGATATATAAAGTAATGCAGCACTTATAGTCACTATCAATATTAATTCATTGAAGATAAGAGAGCCCCTTCTATGTCTAATATCTCTATCTTTATAAGGATTAGGACGACAGGGGAAAAAGGAGCGGATATAGAGTGGCATAGTGAAAAAAAATAACCGAATAGAGAACAATATAGAGAATGATCGACGAAAAGCGAAATAGTTATTGTAAAGGAGCGAAGATAAAGAGAGGCATAGTGAAAAAAAATGTTTGCTTGACAAAGTTATTGCTCGCTTTGATATTTTTAGTTATATAAAATCACACATCGTGTACCTAATTGGTATTCACGTGCACTAACTTGATGCTGGGAACAGTATATTAATATATATGTTCCTGCTTGATGTGTAAAGTTTCTGCATAGCATGGTTAAAAATAATTAGTATCCCATTTGTTATATCGTAGTGTCACGGTGTTACTTTGTTAAATTTATTTATTTTGTTAATGATTGTGTAAATAAGAATAAATCTGTATAAAAACTTCATACCATTTTAGTGATTGCCTATAGGCGTTTGATTATTGTTACATTTAAGATATATATATATATATATATATATTTAGAACCTTTCATACATCTTAAAGTAAAAGATGTGTGTCCGAGTTAAACGACACAAGAACCCTGTAATACTAGTACGAGAGTATAGCATGTAAAAATTCCTACTCAATATGGTTGTATTGGAAATCTTTTCATACAGATTGACAACTCATGGTCCGACATGCATGTAATATTTGCCACATGACGCTCATAGTTCTTTCTACCATCATCATCTTATTCATTAAGTATTGCTGTAAACATCGATGGTTCACACCCAAACGAAATGGGAGTAATATACCTTCAGATCTTTTCCGTGGTATACACTTGTGAAATATATAGACGAAATTCGGTATTGAAGTGAATCTACATCTCACAAACACAATTTTTGAATTACGATTTTGAGTGAACACTCACCAAACCAATACAAACGTATGGCAAGATATAACCATGCAGGCATTTAGTTGTCGTCAGACACAAGATAAATAATCACTCTCATAAACGTATATATGCATGCAGTTTCAAATATCAAGAACAAGCGATCGATGTCTATAGATCATTGTTAAGTCCGTTTACTAACTGTTCAGAGTCAGACATGTCAATAGTTGATTCTTGGAACCTTCATATACCCCACCCGACGATGGGAACTCTTTCTGATAGTGTTGACAACATAAGCTTGTTTATCTGTACAAGTGGTTGCATGGCCTCTCCTGCCCCAACAAACAAATACGCTACTAGTCTGCTATCTCTGGAGCTCATCCTCAATGGCGCATATACGTCAGGAAACTTACAAGTATACTAGTAAAGATTGTTTCAAGAACAACGAGGTTGGGACGAACTGTTCTAAAATCGTCAATATCAGTAATACATTACTAAGATATGCCTTTAATTACAACAACTGTATTACTAATTTGGATTAATGACGGCTATCCTAAAAAAAATCCTCAAACAAATTAATGTATTAGCTTAGATTTATAATGTATGTATATTCATTAATGAAATAAACGATAATTGGTATTCTTTTCACAAATAATTTATCTAAGTGATTGTCAAATGAATTTAATTATGTAAGAATGAAATGTTAATAAGAAAATTAAAAAAAAATCATGCATGTTGTACTGTTGTATTTTTTCAATTAAAAACTTTAAAATTGCGATAGTTTTACGATTGTTAGCATTTAAACATCTACAGATTTAAATACAAGTTAAAGAATTCCGGTAAAGTAAATTAAACAGATGTGCAATGATTATTAATTGGGAAATGAAACATTTAATTTTTAAGATTAAAAGTACTATTCTTTTAACTTCATATCTTAACTTTATGATAATTGCATAGAACGTAACCGAAAATTGTTCCATTTTAATATTGTAACACTTCCGGAATTAAAAAGTTGAATGTTAATTTTCAATTTATTTATACAATTTATTTATTGTTTCTCTATTGTCATCGGGTATTTCATCTGGGTATATTAAACACGCTGTACTCTTTCTGTTAATCCATTCAAAATGACAATATTCACACCTGTGTACGCTTGAATTCACACCTGTGTACGCCTGAGGCTAAATTGCTGCAAGGTAAAGTTCAAACGAATTCTCATCAAATCGAGAAATAAACAATGACTTTACAAAATAATATACACACTCTGTTCACAAATATTTTGCATTGAAATGGTAATCAAAGTTATAACGGTAAATAAAACTTAAAATATTTTCAGTTCAATATCAGTAAAAATGTTCTATAGATATTTTATGAAAAAATCTCAATAATTTATGAAATTTATTCGAAAATATTTATATTTAGATAACATTATATAGGAAGTTTTATTCAATCAATACAAAACGGTACACACATATTCATTTTCTTTCATTCTTATATTGTGGTTATTAACTACGACCAACGGTCATCTGTGCGCTTTTAATTACGTAAAATTCTGATAAGCAATTAAGACTTTAACAGATTTTATTTTTTCCCATGATTCAACAAATCGGGTTAAAACGTCACAACCCAGTGACGTATGTCAACCAAAAAAGTTACAAATACTTGATTTTCTCCGTTATTAGAAAGAATATAAATTTAAAACTTTGTGAATGTGTTTTTTATGTTAAGATGAAGGTATTTAGATGATAAGTAAAAAATCGCGGACTTTCCCTTTAAGTTTTGAACTTTTGATACATATCAACTATACTGCTAAAATATTGCCCAAAAAGAAGCACAAATTTAATAAAAGGAGACTTGGGTATATACATCAGTGAGAAAACTAGTCAAACACAAATATCAAAATACAGACTGTGTATGCCTAGCTGAAAACTTGTTCCTGGATTATTCATACAACTAAGAATTAAAAAAATTCTGTCATTTTCACATCGGTTTGTAATAACCCAATTTTTCCATCAACAAAATCTACTTTAGAATATCATATGACAGCCTTATAGTTGAAATGCATATTTTAATTTTTTTTTATTTGGAGAATTTAGTTTTAATTTGATGACAGACATTGACAGATCTTTTGAAAGTTTCTGTTATAATTGTTCACAACAATTTTAGACTTATGACCATTTAGAGCTAGAGAGATTGTCTAGACACCTGTTTTTTTGTTATAAAGGATATGTTGACTCTAGTTGTCATTTTTTTGTGTCTTTGGGTTGCTGTCTCATTGGTGTATACCCCACATCTATATACTGTAAATTCAGAAATTATTGCAATGTTTTGAAATAATGCAAAAAATGAGACGGTATCAGGTTATCTGTAATAAAAACTCACATTCCAGTAGTGACTTTTCTTCATAATATTTTTGCAATCGCATTAAATAGATTTCACATTTTTGCCAGAGGTCAAAGATTTGCAATAATAAATGCATGCTTTAATTTCTGAATTTATAGTAAGTGTTATGTAATTCTGCTGAATTTAAATATCTGCAAATCATACCTGTGTTAAAATACTGCTTTGTCTTTCTAAATTCTAGATTGAAATGCTCATATGAGACTAGAGCATTTCAATCTAGAATGCCGAAATATGTGACCTTTCATTGTACACATACTGCATAGAAAAAAAGTGCTCTTTAACTAGTCCACATTGATATAACAGAATTTTTATGCCCCACCTACGATAGTAGAGGGGCATTATGTTTTTCGGTCTGTGTGTCTGTCCGTCTGTCTGTATGTCCCTTTCAGGTTATAGTTTTTGGTCAAGGTAGTTTTTGATGAAGTTGAAGTCCAATCAACTTGAAACTTAGTACACATGTTCCCTATGATATGATCTTTCTAATTTTAATGCCAAATTAGAGTTTTGACCCCAATTTCATGGTCCACTGAACATAGAAAATGATAGTGCGAGTGGGGCATCCATGTACTATGGACACATTCTTGTTTAATATATGTTGGCTATGGACTCCTAGCATAAGACCCAAGGTTCCCCAGCAAGTTGTGGTATATCTCTTGTACTTGTAACAGTGAATAAAAATATGAATTTTGATTGATATGATATATGTTTATATATATATATATATATATTTGTAGCACCTAGATCTGTGGTATTTAATATACTGTATGTGGTGTTATTTGGATGGTGGCAGGCTGTAATATATCTAGTTCTGGGGCTGGTCATGTATCTTTCCATTGTTGGCAGACATTACGGTAAGAACCATTGAGACCTGTAAATATGTACAGTGTTTAAGTAATAATTTATACTTGTTTTATAATTTTTCAATTGTGCACAGATCACCGTCTAGAGTTGGACTCAAAATAAGCATTTTTAACAGACACATACTTAAAGTTTTATTTCATCATTACTGTATCTCCAAAACAGCTGATGTGTATTTATTAAGAATGAGAAATTTGTTTTTGTTTTATTCAAAAACTACTCTTTGGATTTTTGATAATGCTTGTATAATCATGTTATTTTTAGAATTATGCCTTCATACAGTTTACCTGTTTTAAGCACATTGGTGAATTATCAATGTTGTTAAGTCACAAGTTGTATATTTTTTATATTTGAATTCTTGGATTATTTTTTTTTTTACATTGACATTTCATATAAATAAAGTAGAAAATTCAAGGAACTATATGTATTTATTTCATTTTTAAAATTAGTGCAACTAAGTTGATACTGGTTCACAACACCTATTGTTGTATGATGTAGATCTTATGAGTAATCATTTTGTATTTTACCGATAAATGGACTTATTTTTTGGCGATTAATACTACACTTTTACACTGACATCAGCAATCTATGGCTAGACACAGGGTTTAAATATGTTGTAGATCAAGATACCATCTTTCTCATGATTCACCTATGTGTGTCATAATTAACATGTTGTTTATCAAAATTTATCAGAGCTTATTTAAATGCATACAGAATTAGAGCAAATTTTTATATTTTACTTCGTAACAAATTGCTTATTGCTGGACTTTTTAAAATTCTTAAAATGATTGCAATATTGAAATACATACACGTGTAAGGCAATGTCAAATACTGTTTCTTTTATACAGGATTGTTTTGTTTAAAGATGTCAAGTTATTATCTCTGGCCATTTAGGAAATTTGTATACATTGTAAGTATTATAGCATAGGATTCTTTCTTGATAGTTACAGCCCTATTATAAGATGTCAAACTTCTGTTATGCAATGAGATTTTGATAATATTATATATATATATATAGCATTGTGTCCTGCCCTTTCCCCCATTATACTTTAATTTTGATATAATATAAATATCATATAAAAAAAAAGATACAAAGATAATCATCCAACAATACAATTACTATTATAGAAGGTCTTATTTCCATTTTTTTTTAATTTCCATTCATGATTGTGTTCCATTATTATGCACAAATACACTGAATCAGTTAAAAAAAATAAAAAATTAAAATAGGGTTGACCACTCCTACCAAATTAAAAAGAATATTAATAGGAATGAATGTGCACCATGGAAATAAATACACCCCGATTTTAATGTGACAAAAAACAAGAAAACATGTTTTGTATTAGAATGAAATTCCTCTTGAGCAGAATGACTATATTTTACAGACCTCACCTAATGGATTGACATATTCATATCACACAAGTTCTTCCTCAAACGTCAGTGGAAGTGAAGAACATAAACCTTTACTAGAGAAACGTAAGGTCACAGAAACATGTGTCTCATTTTGGGTAAGTATTGATCTTAGAATTGTTTTTAGAATACTGTTGTCAGCTATATGCAATGTTTTGCCTCAATTTTGAATGTGTTTTAAGGAAAAAGAAAGATGAATGTAAGTGTTTTCAAATTCATTTTGCCACAAAAAATGCTGAATCTTGCTTCTCTTGCTTTTTTTATTCATTCACATGATTCATTGTAATATGGTTTCCCATTGACAAAAAAAGGTATAGCCCTATTTCTCATTGTATTCCACAAGATTGTAAAAATTCAATTTGAAATTGCAAGTACAAAAGTAAGGCTAATGTTATAACTTCAGTAAGATTTGCTCATTTTGGCAACATAAAAAACAGTATTGAATAACTTAAATTCAGTATGATATAAACATGTGAACATTTTTGTTGTTGCTGTTTTTATACCCCCGCTTTAAAAAAGTGGGGGTATACTGTTTTACCTCTGTCTGTCTGTCCTTCCGTCAGTCCATCCATCCATCCGTCAGTCCGTCCGTCCGTCCCATGAATATTTTCGTCGCATTTTTCTCAGGAACTAATTGACAAGGATTTCTGAAATTTGGTTTCAGGGTTTATATAAGTAAGTTACACCGTGTGATGCATTTTCAGATTCATCACTCAACAATTTCCTGTTTACTGAACACTTGTATTATTTTACACATGATAGCCAAGTTGAAAATTTTCGTCACATTTTTCTCAGGAACTACTTGACAGGGATTTCTGAAATTTGGTTTCAGGGTTTATATAAGTCAGCTATATCGTGCGATGCGTTTTCAGATTCATCACTCAACAACTTCCTGTTAAATGAATTATTTCGGCGGGGGTATCATCGGTGAGCAGTAGCTCACAGTTTTACTTGTTTAAATATATATTGTATTGGTTATCAGTGAGGTAATTATCGTTTCATTTATTAAGTTGGAATTGTGACTAAGAATTAATTAATGAAATACATCTTTTCAGTTTCCATCTGTTTTACTATATGAGGATACAATTTTAATGGGCAAGGAAAGTAGCTCATAGAAATAAATATGTTTGTTAGCCATGAAGAGGAACTATTTGTAAAACAGAGAAATTAATTATAGAACAACTAATCAGAAAATTCAAATATAGAAAATTATTCAATAAGTGACCAAATAACACATTAATTCTTAATTGTGTATCTCATCAGTTAATTATCAGTGTTGTTCATTCACAAGTTGGATATTTTTTTTTCAATATTTGAATTCTTGTATTAGTTATTCTTTTTAATACATATTGACCATGGACTTTTTAATGGAAATTTAGTAGAAAATGTAGGGAACTATATCTATTTCTACACCTCTCACTTTGTTTTGTTATAACATTATCAACAATATCTTTTCTTACATGTCTTGTAGACTTGTAAATTTTAATAGATACCTGCATGTATAAAAGTTAACTAAAAATTTTCTTCAATGGTCCAATTAGAAAAAGCGATTTTAATTGATATGATAAATATTGTATTTCAGAGCAAAGTTCAGAGCTATGTATGGTTGATTTTAGGTGTTCCTATATTAGTCCTATTGCATACAGTTGTCATGGTGATATCATGGCTCTTTGTCATATCTATTCCAATTGCTAAGGTAAATAGTTTCACAAGCTCATCAGATACTGTAAGTTCAGAACTCATCAGATACTGTAAGTTCAGAACTTATTGTGAGGTTTTTATAAATGCCAATAATACGACCCGGTGAGTATCGTAATAATAAGAACTCACATTTTGATAACTAAACCATAGATCTGTATGTAGATTTTTCTAAAATCGCAATAATTAAACTTGCATTCTTGTCCATTTTTGAAATATTGCAATAATAAATGCACGCAATAATTTCTGAATTAACAGTATATAATTGTATTATTTTATTTTAAAAAACTAATATTTATAGCTTATTGAAATTTATAAATTTCCATTATAATAAATTTCAGAACTCAGAACTGTGATTACCTATAGAGACAACAGTGATAACATGTTATTGAAATGAAAAGAAAGTTTTAGTTTCTTATAATGAAACATCAGGTCAAGAAGATGAATATCTAAAGGCCATTGAATGGTTGTTAAATGATACAGAAGTTCACATGTTATGCCAACTTATGGTAATCAAATATTGAAGATAGAATAGGTGGGACTGAGGTCCTGGGATCTTGGTCATAAAACTTTACTCAATACTCAGAGGACAAAATGTGTGCTCGAAACACCAAATCATGTATTTTAATTGTTTGAATTCTTAGTCTGAGTACTATTATCGTTCTCTAAATTTTTATGACCACTAGGCTAGATGGTACTTATATTCTGATCCATTCTTTTGAAAAGTGATGAAAATAATGAAACTCAAAACCTATCAAAGATTTATTTGCTGAAACAAAAAACTCATTTACCTGTTACATATTAAGTGCTGAAAGGTTTTACAATTTTCTAATTGCACAAGTTTGTAGTCAGTTAATTTCATGATGTAAACACATTTGTAAAATCATTAGGACCTTGAAATTAATAAACACAGAAATGGTTTATGCTGTAACTTAAATTAATTACTTTGAAACCATTATACATTTTATTTTCCAGATAAATTTGAAGAGTATAACAAGCCTCATATTTCTTCCTCCAGAACAAATACACATTGATGATGTTAATGAATATAGCCAGGTAATGCTACCTTTAGGTTCATGCATCTTACACTGAATAAAATACTTTTTAAGTACCAGGTACCCTATATCCAGCTTTATGAGAACAGGGAAAACTCCAAGGAAGTAGACAAAATCTCAAATTGCCAATGAAAAGTGGCAAAATGAATAATCATTTTAATTGATGGAACAAATAAAATGACTCATGCATTACTGACCCCTGTCCTGAATTTCCCAGTGAAAAAAAAATATATAGATTGATTGATTGGTGATTGTTGTTTAACGCCACTTTCAACACTCCTGGCTATATTGTGGTGACCAGATTTTATTGTTGGAGGAAGCTGTAGTTCCTGGAGAAAACTAGCAATCCTAGCTATATATATATATATATAGTCAATTAAGATAAGAGTGTAAAGCACCTGCCAAAAATGAATGATATGTAACAGGATTTTTTTTATACATGTTAATACTTTATATGATGGCATTGATGGTTCTTCTTGTCTCTTTGCAGGAGAGTAAAATAAAACAGAGTGAGATTATATTGTTTATTCCTAAGAGTGTCAATGTATACTATTACAAATACAGTGTAGATGGAATGAACATAATCTTAGTCAGTATCCTTAATCAATCAATACTATTACAAATACAGTATATACTCAACCGCAAATGAATGTAGTCGGCTTTTCATTGCAGCTGCAAAAATATTTATGAAGATAAATGATGACAGGGTTTTTTTGTCGAGCCTGCAACATATATGTCGCTGAAGCGAGACATAGCAATCCAACATTCCATATTTGGTGGTGTCAAAATTTAGGTTCAGTATGTGAAATTTTATGAAATTTGGACAGGAGCTTTCTTATGACAGTACTTAGACAGTCAAAAGAGCAATATTTGAAAATATTTTTTTTCATATTTCAGTATTTTACTGATAAACAGACTTAGTTTTTTTTTTACAGTTAACTTTTACATACTGCATGTCTAAGGTTAAATTTTTTCCATCATCAATAACTACATGGAATTCTATGAATGAACAGAACAGAAGCTTTTTTATGATTAAAAGACAGTATCCAGATCAAATTTTTCTGACAGGAGTAATTTGTTAACTTTCATGGATTGTTTAAACGTTTATGAGAAGCTAATCTTCAAGGTCAAGAAATAGCATCTGAAGAAAAATTTGCTGATACATAAATTTACTTTTACAGTCAATTTTTACTCTGACAGCAGCAATCCTAGGTGAGACACAGGGTTCAGCAGAATGCTTTATGAAGTTTTTTATCAAGAATTTACAAATTTAGTACTAGCTTTTTTTCTGCATATGTATTTTAAACTTTGTACATTTATTGCATTTTCCTCAACACATGCCAGACCTTCTTGTGTTTGTGATACTGTCTATAGTGTTTGGATATACAGATATAGTTACTCCACCAATTGTAAGTTATCAGTTGTGTAAGGATGAATTATAGATTTCATGTAGAAAACTTAGAACTGTTTCCATTTTCTTATTTCAAAACATACAAGCTATACGAAAATGTATTTCTATACTAGCTACAAATTTTAATGACCTCATAAATTGGAATGGGTGCAGCCAAAGTGTTTTTCTGAATTTACCTTCACCAGGAAACTCAAACAAAACAAGAATTTGTCCATAGTACACAGATGCCCCACTCACACTATCATTTTCTATGTTCAGTGGACCTTGAAATTGGGGTCAAAATTCTAAGTTGGCATTAAAATTAGAAAGATCATATCATAGGGAACATGTGTACTAAGTTTCAAGTTGATTAGACTTCAACTTCATCAAAAACTATCTTGACCAAAAACTTTAACCTGAAGCGGGACAGACAGATGGACGAACGGATGAACGAACAGATGCACAGACCGAAAAAACATAATGCCCCTAGGTGGGGCATAAAAATTTAAAATCCAAGGATGAATATGAAAAGGGACATAAAAAATAGCCATATCCATCTAAGGTCAGCTAAGTCTGAGGGAGATAGAACCTTAGTTTCTTAAATTTATCAACAGAGAATATTAAATGTTAATTTCCATTAAAACGTTACCATTTTTTGCATGAAAAAGTATTTGAGATTTTGCAGTCAGCTTCAATTATTTTTACAAAATGTTCATTTCTGTTTGGTTTGTAAACTTGAACAATCTGGATCACAATATTCTAGAATTATTTTATTTTGTAGAAGTGTGTTCTTGGAGCATTGGCTATAATACCACTCACTTATTACATTGGAATGTCCATTATAAGGTACAATATTGGCTATAATACCACTCACTTATTACATTGGAATGTCCATTATAAGGTACAATATAAAGTATATTATGCAGTTCGAAAAGTCTTTATAACATGTATGTTTATTGCATGCGTCTATCTTTAGAAATTCTTTTAATTTGAATAAAACTGCATTTATGATTTAATTTTGAGTTAAAGAAAAAGAATGATATAGTATTGCTTTATTATCCTCTCTAAAAGCAACTGTTGTCTTCTAAAATCAAACTTTTATTTTAAGGTCATCAGTTAAAGTGGTGTTCTTTTTGAAAAAAATACCACACAATGTCAAAATAAGCATAATGTCATTACCCTATTATTATTGTATATCAATCAAATGGAACATTGTGTAGATTAGATTAAGGTCAAGCAACAGTAAATTGGCTATGTCACAGATTTTAGTAAAATTTTGCATACAACTTTGGCTCGTTGAACTAAAACTGAAAATTGATAAAAAAAATAATGCATTTGTTGCATAGCCCATTTACTGTAACTTGACTTTAAAACCAATTTTACATGCATTATGTATGATGTTCATCACTTTTGAAATATAAAAAAGAAGATGTGGTATGATTGCCAATGAGACAACTCTCCACAAGAGACCAAATGACACAGAAATTAACAATTAAGTTTTCATATAATTTTATTGCAGAAAATAAAAGAGATAAATGCATTATTTATTTAACATGTTGAAGTTGTATGCAAAATTCCTATAAAGTTTGTTTACATGAATGAATAACTTGACCATAAGCAGTTGATCTGCAATTCGTCAATCATTTAAAAAAATGACAATGTAGGTGTAAAGTAGTTAATTTTTCAAATGTACTGATACATTTTTTTTAATTTTATGCAATCTACAAAGATTGCAAAATTGTATCTTAAAAAAACTGCATGAATAATTGAGTATGTATTTAATATATATTTTCAGTATATCAGCCCAGACTTCAGTAGCAGTGGGTGCTGTTATAAATGCTACCTTTGGTTCTATTGTTGAAATCATCATCTTTGTGGTAGCTCTTAATAAAGGAAAGCAAGCAGGGACTCAGTTATGTTTTAATGAAATTGTCAAAGCCTCTTTAACTGGTAAGGATTAATTCTCTTTAACAAGTGAGGATCAATTCAAACTTAAATATTAGTGTATTGCAAAGTTTGTGGGAAAGGAGGAGCTATTATTTGGCCCCTAAAATCGCAACTTATTCATAATAATGTTATTGTCATTGATAAACGAACCAGTTGCTTTAATCTACAAACTTAAGTGCAGAAAGTTCACATGTGATGTCAACATGACAAAATGAATGTTCTAGACCTAAAATGGCCATTTAAAGGAGAAAAAGAATTATGACAAAATCCCCAGGAAACTGCAGGAACTCTATCAAGTACAATAATGTTATTTCCTATGTTTTATTACCGGTATGTTTTTTCTGCCCATTTTATCTTCCCATTTCAGTTATTTTTGTCTATTTTAGGTACAATAATTGGTTGTACTCTTCTCATTCCTGTAAGTATACAGTTTATCATCAAAACAATCAAAAATATTACAATTAGCCAAGTCTTTCTTTAGTAGTTATTACATTGGTTGCAATGAAATACTGTGATTTTGCAGTGAAATAAAAACCTGTAATTTCAAATGTAGAATAAATCCATTAATTTCGCTCTCTGACATCATACAACAATTGATGTTATTATACCTTACATTATATAGTAATTATTTGATTGGCTAATACGGAAGGAATCAGGTGTCATAGTTTAATATCAATCTTTTTCCAAAAATTGGCAGGACGGGTGAATAACCCAGACAAATTGAAGCCTCCATTGAACAACCTTATTATTTCCCAGTGAATAACCTTTTCAGCCCCTTGGTTTTTGCACGAGTTATCTCCCATTAAAAATGACATCATTGATGCCTGTAAACAAAATGGCAACAGCCAGGTAAGAAGTCCATCAAGTAATGAGGAAACAAGATAAAACAAGGCTAGGAAAATCATCTAGTTCCGAGGATATCTCTCGTAAACGGTCCTTTTCAGGGCCATCAATATTTTACAGAAAGAGTCTACCTTTGTTGTACATACTAGAAATTCTTATAATCAAATTAATTTTCTAACTTAAGTTTTTAGACAATCTTTTTTTCTCTCCCGTAAGGCAATATTTTACACTTAATTGTTTGTTCGGTATAATAAAACAGTTATGGCCCATTGAGTCGTCTAATATCCAAAATTGTCAACCTGAGTAAGGGTTATTCCCCTCTGGGCTAAAGCCCTCATGGAATAACCCTTATTTGGGTTGACAATTTTGGATATTCACCTCCTTAGCGGGCCATAATTGTATATTGACAAGACATTGACAATGATGTCTCAAAATAATATGTAAATCCGTAGAAAAAGGTATGCTTCCTTGCATTACTAATTAATTTCAACTCGTCAGTGTAATAAAAGAATAACTTATCGGAGAAATCAAATACTGAAAAATATTCAACTTGTGACTGAACAACACAGATAACAGTATTACCAGATTTAAACAGAATGCTATGAAACTTTAACAGAAGATATTTTTTTAGATGTCAGATTTTGAAAGTAACATGACTATTTAGTGATTATTTTTCAGGGCATTTGTATGATAGTTGGTGGTCTGAAGTATACAGCACAGAGTTTTAATCCAAAGTCAGCTAGTGTTTCATGTTTGTTAATGTTTGTTTGTGTTGGAGGTAGGTAATTATGATAAATATATAAAATCTGTTATATAGGTACATTTTTTATCATATGAATTATTTGTTTATTTCCACACTTTAAGTCACACTTTTGATATTTTAAATGATAAGGTTAAAAACCATATAAATGTACATTAATTTTTTTCTTTCCAGGAATATTTGCGCCAACAATATTTTCTCAAGTGTTGGGTGACATGAATTGTCAGAAATGTGAGAATATGTATAGTACTAATGACACATTGATGAATACAACTTATGGTTTAAATTGTGAACAGTGTACCAACTCCATTGTAAGTAAACTGATTAAATTAAGTATTGACCTTCTTGTTTCAAACTATGACCATCTTTATTGTTTCCTGTTTTACTCCATGTTGATTGAAAGTGTTTCAGTCAAATCAAAATCACTGTTTTTAGATATTTCAAATTTCTCAAAAGTGTCTATGATTTCTCTTTTCTATCCAACCACCTCAGTGGTCTTGGGAAAGCTTGTTCACTTTGAGTGTGGGAGGTCATGTATTTGAACCCCGGTTGGGTTAAACTGAAGACTGAAGATGTGTATTTGCTGCTTCTTCCCTAAGTACACAGCATTTAGGATTAATGGCAAAGACTGTTGGCTCGGGGTCAGAATATTGTGTCCAGGTAGGATGACATGTCTTCCAGCGAACTGTTACCTTGTGAACTAGCTCATAAAAAAGCTTAGATTGTTGGTCTAGTACAAAGCAGGGTTAATACTCATACTACATTATCATGTTCTTGTCTTGAATATGCATTTAATTTGCCACTGAATGGTAAACAACCATCCATATATCCATCTTTTCTATCCCTGAATTACTTTGAACTAATCTTGACTTCTACATCAAGCCCTTAATTTTAAATATCTGAAATGAAACTGTAAAGATGTTTCCATCTTCCACATTGTGCACATTTGAACTTTACTTGGTAATGGTTCAGAATCATTAAATAAGTTCTACTTTATTGACAGAATTATTTTACATGTTGGTTTTACAGATCTAATTTCAAAAAGGAGGTGTTGGTATACACAATGAGACAATAATTCAAAGACAAAAAATAAAATAGACACCTTGAGGTCATCTGATGTTTTCTTTTCACAATGTATAATGATCAATCAGAAAAAATAGAGGAAATGGATCAAATTTTCAAAATATTGAGGAAATAAAAAAATCAGATTTGTATTTCAATGCCATAGACATGATAGATGCAAACTTATTCAACAATAACAATAACATGAATATTTTTATGCCCTCGCCATAGGCAATGGGGGCATTAAGTGTAACCCTTGACCGTTCATCTGTCTTTCCGTCCGTCTTTCCATTCGTCTTTACGTCCGTCCTTCCATCTGTCTTTCCATCTTTCAGTCCGTCCTTCTGTTCATCTCATTTTCTTTGCGCCCTCTAACTTAAGTATGCCTCATGCAAATATTTTGAAACTCGTATACAATGTTAAGAACCAAAAGTGGCAGACAGAGTTCGAAATTTGGGCAGTAAGTTACTTACCGTTCTAGAGTTGTGCCCCTTTATAACTTGGAAAATTACAAATTTTTCGTTTCCGCACTCTAACTTAAGTTTTCTCATCCAAATTTTATGAAACTCATACACAATGCTAAGAACCAAAACTAGCAGACAGAGTTCGAATTTGGGCATTGAGTCACTTCCTTTCTAGAATTATGCTTCTTTATAACTTGGAAAATTTCATACACATTCTTCTTTTATTTTTTTGTTACTATCATATTGCTGATATTAGTTTTAATACATTTCAGTTTGGAGTAGATAGAGAAATGACATTATATAACAAGCACATCAAACCTTTGGTATATGCCATCTGTCTGATGTTACCAGTAGCTTATATCATAGGACTGATATTTACACTGAAGACCCATACATCACACCTGACCATAGATTTCACAGCAGAACAGCTTAAACGAGATAATGTTAATCATCAGGGTATGGTATTTGAATAATATATACCATGATTTTTGTTCTGATGAAATACAATCTATAAATATTAATTTAATATATGCCTTGAAATCTGTGTCAATGCAGCCTTATGTATTTTAAGTAAAGTAGCATATAGAATATGTAAAATAGACAACAACTCAACAACAACAACAAAACAGAAATAGGTGTCATATATTTTTGGAATATCAATAACCGACTAGTAGGAAAGTGTGAATATTTATTATAGAGTTTGATAGTGATATATTAAACAGGATTAATAATAACTTCAAAGAGTACATAGTAGTTCCTTTTAGATTGTCTTTCTTTCTTTCTTTCTTTCTTTCTTTCTTTCTTTCTTTCTTTCTTTCTTTCTTTCTTTCATTCTTTTTATTTATTTCATAGTGGCAGGTATTTAGAAAGACTTCCATTTGAAAACCTCATAAAATATATAAAAGTAGTTAACTTACAGTATTGTAAGAATAAAACATGTGAAAAATCAATTTAGATTATAGTGTGTTCTTGCAATGAAAAACTTAAACTGAAAAGTATTTAATTTATTCAGATCCTTTTAGGATAGGCAAATTTAAAACTCAAAAGCTGTTCAACTGTTTCTTGAAATTCAGTGGTAGATGATATGTATATGTCGTTAGGCTAAGGGGGCATTAAGGTTTACCCTTGTCCATCTGTACCTATGTACATCCGTCCATCTATCCATCTGTCCGTACATCCTGAAATTGGTTTTTGCACCCTTGCTTTACTTTTCCATAACTAAATGTTCTGAAACTTATACTCAATGCTTATTACCACCAAACACAGACCAAGTTCGAATTTTGGTGGTGTCACTTGTACTGTTCCTGTGTTCCCCTTTATCAAGTTTCAAAGAAAACAAAACCTCATTAGGTTTGAATTAATAAAATAACTTGCAAAGTTACAAGCGGGACATATATGCCCATGGACACATTCTTGTTTCGTTTCAGTTTATCATAAGTGTGGATGTGTTTTCTGCTCTTTGGTCGGGTTGTTGTCTCTTTGACACATTCCCCATTTCCATACTCAATTTTATTATGAGTAGATTGATGGAAAGTAAAGCTATGGCACTGAACAACTTCTTTACTTATTGTAATGTAATAAAAATAATAAGGAAAAGAATTAAAGGTGGTGAGGATAAGTTTGTTTCTGAGATGTAGTTTTATATTTCAGGTCACAGCCATGGTTCTCCACAATGGGGTATAGTTAAAAGTATGGTTATATTGTTGTCAGCAGCCACTTTAATTGGAGTGTGTGCAGATATTGTCACAGAAAACATACAGGATTTTCTTAACTCTACAGGAATGTCTACGGTAACAAACACAAAAAACTGATAAAATGTCATTGTCTATAAAAATAAACTTCCACAGAAAGAAAATACAAGGTGACCATCATTATTAAATGATGTAAGCATGGACATTTTTTGTGACTGTGTCTTTGTAGCTCTTTCCATGGTAGTTTTTCATCAACAACAATTTATTAAGAAACTTTCATTAAAAAATATCTCTCTTATATTGAAGTTTTAAAACGTGAAATAAAAAACTGCAAATACAGGGTTTTTCTCAACTTCTGCAAAAATTAAAGAAAATCATTTTTATATATATAGTATACCAAAATGGTATACAGATCTGAAAATAATAAGAGAGGAACTTCTATCAATATACAAATAAGGAGATGTGGTATGATTGCTAATGAGACAACTATTCACTAAATTTCAAATGAAGTGGATGTAATCAGCCTGTTTCTTGCCTATTTAGCGTGACATTCTCTATTATGCTGAGGTCATACATTTCTGTGAAAGTGCACGTAATAAAGGACAATTGCAAAGACCTCATTCCAGCAAAAAAAAAAAAATCTGTAAATTAATATTCTGGAACATAATTCATTGAAAATTATTTTTTATGAGCACTATAGTTCATCAATTTATACACGGTTTGTACTTCATGTACCTGCATTTGTTTATTTAAGTAAAATATATATAGGAATAGAAGGAGATGTTAGGTGTAAAGCATGAAATATATGCCACTGGATGTCAAGCAACCAACAATCTTTCAATCTTGGGTATACTCAAAGAGACAGCCAATAACACAAAAAAGGAAAGAATTTTAACCAACTATGAAAGATCTGCCATAAACACCCAATTCTTGTGTTAAGACACACATTTTTTTCTTTCCAGGAAAAATGGAGGGCTGATTACTAAAACAACAAAACCATACATTGTATATGATTTTAATTGTTACACTGTTTCCTCATATAATATAATTCGTTATATTTCAGTATTTTGTGAGTGTGACATTTTTATCACTGATTCCTGCCTTGCCTGAGATAGTCAATGGTATACAGTTTGCTTTACAGAATAATATTAACTTAGGGTATGTTTTCAATCAGTTTATAAACATATTTTCTGGGGTTTCATTGATTTGGCCAATCTTTTCACTGTTTATTAGACTATGGATTCAAAGGTCTCAAAATTCAGTAATTGTAATGAAACATTTGTTATTATGAATATTTATGAGAGGGGATGTCATCCAGAATTCCTGGGTAAAATAAACGCTGAATCTCTAATCCCCCCCAAATAAAGCATTCTTTTCCAGATCCTTAAAAAACAGAATCATGGATTCACAAGTCCCAATAAATGGTAATCACTAAATCCCACAAAAAATAAAGGCCCACCCTGACCTCCTGAAAAAGGTCCTTCCGCCCCACATATAATTTTCTTAAAATTCATACATTTACAATTTCTTAAAATTCATACATTTACATTTTACTGACAATGTTTTGCCAGATTACAGATTGCATAATTATTATTAGTTACAAATGAATATAATAGCAATCAATTACTAGCACTAAGTCTTATCTTTCCAAAATCTGACAAAGAGGGAAGCTGTTATTGAAATTCAATAATGTGTTTTTTTTTCAAAATTCCATCAAATATTTTTTCCAGGATAGAAATTGGAACAAGTGTAGCTATACAAGTGTGTACTATAGAAGTTCCTTTACTGGTTCTTGTAGATATTATATATGTAAGTATAAATACAAGTGTGTACTGTAGAAGTTCCTTTACTGGTTCTTGTAGATATTATATATGTAAGTATAAATACAAGTGTGTACTATAGAAGTTCATTTACTGGTTCTTGTAGATAATATATATGTAAGTATAAATACAAGTGTATACTATAGAAGTTCTATTGCTGGTTCTTGTAGATATTATATATGTAAGTATAAATACACGTGTGTACTATAGAAGTTCTATTGCTGGTTCTTGTAGATATTATATATGTAAGTATAAATACAAATGTGTACTATAGAAGTTCATTTACTGGTTCTTGTAGATATTATATATGTAAGTATAAATACAAGTGTGTACTATAGAAGTTCATTTACTGGTTCTTGTAGATATTATATATGTAAGTATAAATACAAGTGTGTACTATAGAAGTTCATTTACTGGTTCTTGTAGATATTATATATGTAAGTATAAATACAAGTGTGTACTATAGAAGTTCTATTGCTGGTTCTTGTAGATATTATATATGTAAGTATAAATACAAGTGTGTACTATAGAAGTTCATTTACTGGTTCTTGTAGATATTATATATGTAAGTATAAATACAAGTGTGTACTATAGAAGTTCATTTACTGGTTCTTGTAGATATTATATATGTAAGTATAAATACAAGTGTGTACTATAGAAGTTCATTTACTGGTTCTTGTAGATATTATATATGTAAGTATAAATACAAGTGTGTACTATAGAAGTTCTATTGCTGGTTCTTGTAGATATTATATATGTAAGTATAAATACAAGTGTGTACTATAGAAGTTCATTTACTGGTTCTTGTAGATATTATATATGTAAGTATAAATACAAGTGTGTACTATAGAAGTTCATTTACTGGTTCTTGTAGATATTATATATGTAAGTATAAATACAAGTGTGTACTATAGAAGTTCCTTTACTGGTTCTTGCAGATATTATATATGTAAGTATAAATACAAGTGTGTACTATAGAAGTTCCTTTACTGGTTCTTGCAGATATTATATATGTAAGTATAAATACAAGTATGTACTATAGAAGTTCCTTTACTGGGTCTTGTAGATATTATATATGTAAGTATAAAACAAGTGTATACTATAGAAGTTCCTTTACTGGTTCTTGTAGATATTATATATGTTAGTATAAATACAAGTGTGTACTATAGAAGTTCATTTACTGGTTCTTGTAGATATTATATATGTAAGTATAAATACAAGTGTGTACTATAGAAGTTCCTTTACTGGTTCTTGCAGATATTATATATGTAAGTATAGATACAAGTGTGTACTATAGAAGTTCCTTTACTGGTTCTTGCAGATATTATATATGTAAGTATAAATACAAGTATGTACTATAGAAGTTCCTTTACTGTGTCTTGTAGATATTATATATGTAAGTATAAATACAAGTGTATACTATAGAAGTTCCTTTACTGGTTCTTGTAGATATTATATATGTAAGTATAAATACAAGTATGTACTATAGAAGTTCCTTTGCTGGTTCTTGTAGATATTATATATGTAAGTATAAATACAAGTGTATACTATAGAAGTTCTATTGCTGGTTCTTGTAGATATTATATATGTAAGTATAAATACACGTGTGTACTATAGAAGTTCCTTTACTGGGTCTTGTAGATATTATATATGTAAGTATAAATACAAGTGTGTACTATAGAAGTTCCTTTACTGGTTCTTGTAGATATTATATATGTAAGTATAAATACCAGTGTGTACTGTAGAAGTTCCTTTACTAGGTCTTGTAGATAATATATATGTAAGTATAAATACAAGTGTGTACTATAGAAGTTCATTTACTGGTTCTTGTAGATATTATATATGTAAGTATAAATACCAGTGTGTACTGTAGAAGTTCCTTTACTAGGTCTTGTAGATAATATATATGTAAGTATAAATACAAGTGTGTACTATAGAAGTTCCTTTACTGGTTCTTGCAGATATTATATATGTAAGTATAAATACAAGTATGTACTATAGAAGTTCCTTTACTGGGTCTTGTAGATATTATATATGTAAGTATAAAACAAGTGTATACTATAGAAGTTCCTTTACTGGTTCTTGTAGATATTATATATGTTAGTATAAATACAAGTGTGTACTATAGAAGTTCATTTACTGGTTCTTGTAGATATTATATATGTAAGTATAAATACAAGTGTGTACTATAGAAGTTCCTTTACTGGTTCTTGCAGATATTATATATGTAAGTATAGATACAAGTGTGTACTATAGAAGTTCCTTTACTGGTTCTTGCAGATATTATATATGTAAGTATAAATACAAGTATGTACTATAGAAGTTCCTTTACTGGGTCTTGTAGATATTATATATGTAAGTATAAATACAAGTGTATACTATAGAAGTTCCTTTACTGGTTCTTGTAGATATTATATATGTAAGTATAAATACAAGTATGTACTATAGAAGTTCCTTTGCTGGTTCTTGTAGATATTATATATGTAAGTATAAATACAAGTGTATACTATAGAAGTTCTATTGCTGGTTCTTGTAGATATTATATATGTAAGTATAAATACACGTGTGTACTATAGAAGTTCCTTTACTGGGTCTTGTAGATATTATATATGTAAGTATAAATACAAGTGTGTACTATAGAAGTTCCTTTACTGGTTCTTGTAGATATTATATATGTAAGTATAAATACCAGTGTGTACTGTAGAAGTTCCTTTACTAGGTCTTGTAGATAATATATATGTAAGTATAAATACAAGTGTGTACTATAGAAGTTCATTTACTGGTTCTTGTAGATATTATATATGTAAGTATAAATACCAGTGTGTACTGTAGAAGTTCCTTTACTAGGTCTTGTAGATAATATATATGTAAGTATAAATACAAGTGTATACTATAGAAGTTCTATTGCTGGTTCTTGTAGATATTATATATGTAAGTATAAATACATGTGTGTACTATAGAAGTTCTATTGCTGGTTCTTGTAGATATTATATATGCAAGTTTAAATACAAGTGTGTACTATAGAAGTTCATTTACTGGTTCTTGTAGATATTATATATGTAAGTATAAATACAAGTATGTACTATAGAAGTTCTATCGCTGGTTCTTGTAGATATTATATATGTAAGTATGTAATTTTTGTATTGAGGACATTATCACAGACAAAAAACAAGTGTGTAGTATAGAAGTACTTAGGAGATAATTTTTTTGTTCAGGTAAATGAATCAATTAATGATGGATTTCTCTCAAAAGAAATCTAAAGGTCCCAGTGAATATACTCCACTGAGAACAATACCTATTGTATTCTTTCAATTGGACAGTTCATTGTCGAAAAATTTTAATCGACACAGGTTAAGTAAGTCAAACTGGGGAAATGTTTTATTTCCTTCGCAATAATAAATTTTTCATATTGGAAGACCATGGAAGTTAAATATATCTGTAATTATTACAGAAAAGAAAATCAACTTATCTGAATTAAGATTATCTGCTATTGAGGGAAGTACACTTTTCTTTTAATATTTAGTACAACAGAGGGTTTGATGCAACATTTGTATCTATTCATGCAGATTAAACTCTTATTGATATTAAAAAAAAATGAATATAGGGGAAAAAAACAAATATATTAAACAGAAAGGAATCAACATTTTTTTTCATTCCATAGAAATTTACCATCATACTATCCTGATAAAAATTTGCCTTCATGACTATATCAAAAAATATTTTTTTTCTTTAGTATATACTTATATAAATTTTGTCCACTATGGTAATATAAACTGAAGAAAGATTTTTAGTTTGAAAATCGTTTTATGTCTAAATGTTTTAAAGAGATTTTGTGAGAACAAAAATGTCAGATGTGTCACAAGGATCTAGTAAGTGAAACATGTTGTAATTATTTTTTAGCCATTTGAATTGTACATGGTATTTAACCAAGTCCACTTATGGGCAGTATTTTTTGCTGTTATTGTGATCAACTATACATTTCAAGATGGTAAAAGTGATTACTTTCAAGGTATGTGTTTATATATGTTATAACATAGTATGCAGAAGCCTATCATGACTTCTCCATGGAATAATTTCTGTATCACTTTGATTGAATTTTACTCATCCAGGTCAGCAACAGTATAACAACACCATGACATAAAAGTGTAGGAAAATAAGAAATGTCTCATTTTATTTTTAGCTTTATATTTTTTCAAGAATCAATAGGTTGAGAAAAAATGTATTTTTGTGGATACTTGCATTGATTGCATAATTCTGCATACAAGCCTATTGGAAACTTGTATATTTAAATTCATGGTCCATCTATACTACAAAATCTACAAACAATACCAATCATCAATACCCTATCCTTCAAAAACGATGTACAAGGCAGGGAGGTTGGAGACCCAATTTTAAACTTACCATATTTCCAAAAAATAAATTGTTCTGTTATTCATTCCACAGATTGTTATGGTTGAAAAATTATCTGCACATTCAGCTAGTATAATGAAAATAACGATTTATTAATTTTTTGCGTCCACATTGCTTTCCTCGATTTACCTTCATCAGGAATGCTCAAATCCAAACATTTAAAAGCCAGAGATATATAATTATGTTGAAAATTTTGGGAGCAATATAACGAAAATGGACCTAAAAAGAATAGCCAAATTCATCTAACACCAATTTTGTCTTAGGGAGTTGGTATTCAGTTTCTTAATAGCTTCTTAATTTGTCAACGGTGAATTTTAGAATAATAAGTTATTAATCATGTCAGTACTGAGACACTGACTACTGACCTGATGATACTCTCTCAAACTAACAGTCCACCAGCAGTGGTTACCATTGACCCAGTGCTAGTAAATGATAAATAAGTTTATAAATAATGCTTTTTGTGTTTTTCAGGCACTATGCTGCTCTTCATTTACCTGATATTATTGTGTATGTACTTTTTCATGCCAAGTCCTGGTACTTGTATTCAAAGATAGTGTCAAAGACCTCATTATTCCAATATCAACGAAGAGTAACCGACTGTGCGAGGGCTGTATAGCCAGTCAAGGTCGTGAAACACACCCATCAGATCAACGAAGAGAATTCCTACTCCATCATATTGTTTCTTGTGTTGTTCTGGTATTGGCACATGTATGTGCTTAGATTTCTGGGAAGAATCATTATGATGCTTTCATGAACATGAATTAGTCATGAATATTCTAACATAGTTGAAGAATATTCATGAATATTTAAGGTAAATATTCATGAATATTGGCAAATATCCATTAATGTTAAATTGCACCTTGAGTATCCATGAATTATGTATGAACTGAATATCCTAGAATAAACATGATTATGTATCTAATAGAATATTCTGGAATATTTTATATGAATATGAAAATAAACTGTCCATGAATATTAAATGGTGGAATATCTTAGGATAACCACTAATACAAAAATAAAGGAATATTTTAGGATAACCACTAATACAAAAATAAAGGAATATTTTAGGATAACCACGAATACAAAAATAAAGGAATATCCTAGGATAACCACGAATACAAAAATAAAGGAATATTTTAGGATATTAACCATGAATACAAAAATAAAGGAATATTTTAGGATAACCACGAATACAAAAATAAAGGAATATTTTAGGATAACCATGAATACAAAAATAAAGGAATATCCTAGGATAACCACGAATACAAAAATAAAGGAATATCCTAGGATAACCTCGAATACAAAAATAAAGGAATATTTTAGGATAACCTCAAATACAAAAATAAAGGAATATTTTAGGATAACCACGAATACAAAAATAAAGGAATATTTTAGGATAACCATGAATACAAAAATAAAGGAATATTTTAGGATAACCTCGAATACAAAAATAAAGGAATAATTTAGGATAACAACGAACATAAAAATAAAGGAAAATTTTAGGATAACCACGAATACAAAAATAAAGGAATATTTTAGGATAACCACGAATACAAAAATGATAGAATATTTTAGGATAATCACGAATACAAAAATGATGGAATATTTTAGGATAACCTCGAATACAAAAATAAAGGAATATTTTAGGATAACCACGAATACAAAAATAAAGGAATATTTTAGGATAACCATGAATACAAAAATAAAGGAATATCCTAGGATAACCACGAATACAAAAATAAAGGAATATTTTAGGATAACCATGAATACAAAAATAAAGGAATATCCTAGGATAACCACGAATACAAAAATAAAGGAATATTTTAGGATAACCTCAAATACAAAAATAAAGGAATATTTTAGGATAACCACGAATACAAAAATAAAGGAATATTTTAGGATAACCATGAATACAAAAATAAAGGAATATTTTAGGATAACCTCGAATACAAAAATAAAGGAATAATTTAGGATAACAACGAATATAAAAATAAAGGAAAATTTTAGGATAACCACGAATACAAAAATAAAGGAATATTTTAGGATAACCACGAATACAAAAATAAAGGAATATTTTAGGATAACCACGAATACAAAAATGGCGGAATATTCTAGGATAACCACGAATACAAAAATGATGGAATATTTTAGGATAACCACGAATACAAAAATGATGGAATATTCTAGCATAATAGTGGATTATTCTAGGATTATCATGGCTAAATTTTAATTGTTTTTGCTTCAAACAACATTGGCCACCATAATTTTCAGTTGTTCATGATAATGTTGATATTAAACCAAGATTTTAGCATGTTTCAAAATAGGATATCAAATTGATGTGCCATTACCATTCAAATGTTTCTTTCTGATTCTATGTCTGAGTGATTGTTACTAGTAGATGAATCTCTTACTCTCTGGGGAGTAACTTTTACTGCACTTTCTGGTCTATGTTGGCTGATCCTCTGTTTCTTCTTTAACAATTGATGGCAGATCTTCGTTGTAATTATTATTAATATGTCAATGTTATGAAATGGATAAAATACAAGATTAATTATTGCAGTTTCAGGAAATGTTACAAGAAAAAATGTGAGTTTTTTTATTTTTGTGAACATATCCTGTCCCCATTATTTGCAGTAATAAAAACAGGGCAAAATTTATGAATTTAGTCATGACAGTAATTATATTTATAAAGTTTTCACCGATTTTTTTTTATTGTTTGACTTTATACATTTCTATGATGATGTTTTCAATGGATTTAACTTGTTGACATTTGAAATGTTTTCCATACAGACAAAATTTGTTTTGAGAATTTAATTTTATAATTTTCCAAATGTTTAATAATGAATATAAGAGGCATTATAAATCTGTATAATATATATATGATAATTATATACTGCATAATATGTTGTATGAGTTGTGGCCCTTTATAATGGTGGTGATCCTAATTTTTCTTCTTTTTTTATAACTAACTTGTGGAATTTAAATTTGAAACCATTTATTATCAACCAATTATTAACCTATGATTGAATTTATTCAACAGTAACTTTTAAGATTACATTTTATTTTTAAATACTTCAATATGCTGTAAACCTTGACCAACAAGGTCAGGACTATGACCTACCATACATATTTTATGAGTTTTTACCTGATTTTGGCTGAATTTTTGAAATAACCATGGAGTCTAGTACATTTGTAATTCCCTTTTTCTATTATCTTCATGTAAGGCAATTATATAATAAAATTGTGTTAGAGATACATTTGTACTGTAACAAACTGTAATAATATCAGTAATAGTTCTTATCCTTGTTATGTTTTATAATAATCAGTGATATTGTTTATCTCGTTATCATTTCTATACTTAAGATATTTTTTTTTATTAAAATGTTATGTTTATATGTTTGTTTGTTTGGGTTACATTCAGCTTCCTGTACATCAAATTTCATGGGAATGAATGGAGATATGGGCTGTACATCAATGAGACAACAGTCCAACAACACAAAACCAGACATCTACCGGTCAACATACAGTCGGAAACACCAGTCAGGTTTCTATACAACATGACAAGCTCTAAATTGCTCCCAAATGGAAAAAGTTGTGAATGAATTTATTGCCCTGAATATGCATGAAATATTTGCCACTGGACATTAAGCAACCAACAATCAATGAATTAATTTAACAAAAACACTATCAAAGATCTACCATCAAAACCAAATGACAAAAATGACAAAAATAATGAGCTTAATAAAAAAACAACCACGGATGAGATGTGGTCAGATTGTGGATGGACAGAAGCAGAGTGACCGTAGTTAGCCACATATCTTCTGATCAACTGTGTGCTCGGTGGCCGAGAGGTCTTAGTTGTCAAACTACTGTATCACTAGCCTGTCAACACTGAGATTGTGAGTTCGAATCCCGCAAGGGGCAGGTGCACTCTTTAACTCTTTACCATTTACCATTCATATTCCTTATTTTTTACCTCGAATACAGCATGGTGAAAAGACATCTTGAGGTCAACAAATAGTCTTGTACAGTAAATTTTACACTATTTTAAGATGTAAAGCATCTGAATCTAAATAAAAATTGTGAATAAATTCAACAGTGACTATCAAAGATCATCAAAGATCTGCCTTCAAAATCAAATTCCCAAGCTGGCAACACACATTGAGAAAATACAAGCGACAACCACTGACAAGCATGGTTCCGGACATATGACAGGCACATGAACATGATAGTTTAACAAGTTTTTGACGTAAAGTAAAGTAATCTTTATTTAAAGTTGGGTTGCATATATACATAATAACTAGGAACATGAGCTCTTAAGAGCTCTTTAACCAACTGATATTAAATAACAAATAAAATTGAGAATGGAAATGGGGAATATGTCAAAGAGACAACAACCCGACCAAAGAGCAGATAACAGCCGAAGGCCACCAATGGGTCTTCAATGCAGCGAGAAAATCCCACACCCGGAGGTGGTCCTCAGCTGGCCCCTAAATAAAATTGTGTACTGGTTCAGTGAAAATGGACGTCACACTAAACTCCAAAACATATAAAGGAACTAAAATTTAAAAAAAACAAGACTAACAAAGGCCAGAGGCTCCTGACTTGGGACAGGCGCAAAAATGTGGCGCACATAAGAGCACACAGTATCTAGATCCAAGTAGCACATGCAAAATTAAACACTATAAAGCACAAGCAAAAGACTGCAAGCAGCTACAGCACAGGTAATGCATAAGCAAAACAAAGAAATAATAAATAAAAATAAAAAATTGCAAAAAATGAAAATAAAAAACAAACAGCAGGCTTCAAAGTTAAGTCATGGAGCAGCTAGGAGTTAAATTATTTACAAGAACTGCAGGTACTATTTTCTGAAAAAAACACCAGGTTGAGATAAAAATTTTGAACTGGCCAAAAGTTGATAAGGTCATTGCCTCATTTGGCAAGGAGTTCCAGAGTCTTGCTGCCTCATAAGTAAAGCTTTTCTTACCATACCTTGTTGTTTTTGCCCGTGGTATATCCGCTATGCCTTTGTACCTAAAATTATATGAATTTTCTTTAATGTTTATTAAATTGTGTAGGAATTTATTAATTATTTTGTAAGTCTCTAATGCCATGGTTCTCATTCTTCTGATTTTTAGTGCTGGTAGCTTAGACTGTTCAAGGAGTATCGTAAGAATTTTTGTAGTCGTCATAAATAAGTCTGAGTGCTCTTTCTTTTATTTTTTCTATTTTCTTTGTGTTTTGTTCACTGCAGAAATGCCATGTAAGAGGACAAAAGCTGAGGTTTGACAAGATAAATGAGTGGTATACTGTAAGTTTAGAAAGTCTGGTGAGATGAGTGCCGATTCTTTTTAGTACGTTTAGTTGTCGTGCAGCTTTTTTACAGATGTTTGAGATGTGAGTGTTGAAATCCAGTTTAAAGTCTATTGTTACACCAAGAAGTTTCACCTCCTCGTCACATTTTATGTTGAATCCATTTAGGTTGAAGACCATATTTTGTGTGTGTGTTTTTTTTCCTATGGCAATTGCCTGGATTTTTTCTGTGTTTGCCTGCATTTTGTTGAAGGGGAACCATGATATTAGGGAGTTACTATCTTCCTCTAAGGGTTTAATTACTGATTCCAAAGTAGTACCTGATTTAGAGAGGGTGTTATCATCAGCATAGTTATATAATTCACAGTGTTTGACAAAAAGAAAGATGTCATTTATAAATACATTAAATAATACAGGGCCAAGTATTGATCTCTGAGGAACACCTTTATAGATATCTTGCATTTGACTGATACTCTGACCTATTTTTACACACTGTGTTCTTGTTGTAAGATAACTTTTTAGCAACTCAAGAGCAGATGGACTAAGGCCAAATTTTTCCAATTTACAAAGAAGTAGATCATGTGGAAGACAGTCATAGCTTTACTGAGATCCATCAAAATTGCTGCTAAGTATTTATTATTATCCAGTGCCTTTTTCCAATCTTCCAAAATTTTAAGTAATGTTGACTGACAGCCATAGCCTGATCGAAAAGCCGCAAGGAAATGGTCAAAAATATCATCAAAGTATTTAGTAAGTTGATTTTCTATGGCTGTTTCAAAAATTTTAGATATAGCAGGTAAAATACTAACGGGTCTATAATTATCCTTTTCAAGAATGCTGTATTTTGATTGGATGAGAGAAATGGTATTTTTCACAAATTTTCTATATATTGAGATTTTCTTTTCTCTGTCGGTGTATTTGTCATTAGGGAATTCCATGTGCCGGGGTATTTTTTTGCTAGCAAATACCATGGCAGATGGGAAATACCATGTCTAAAATAACGTGACGTCCGAAGTCCTCTAGACTTTTCGTTGAGATGGATACAAAGAACATTCGGTGGAATTAAACAATTACATCATGCTTACAAGGGGTATTTGCCAAAAATACCGGTTTTGAGGTAAACAAATTTCCCTCGCCTAACGGCTGCTGGAAATTTGTGTACCTCTCAACCGGTATTTTTGGCGAATACCCCTTCTAAGATTGATATATTTGTATAATATACCATCTATACCCGTGAGTTGCCTTTTTAACATTAATTTTACCAATTCTTTTTGAAACAAATGCTTCATTTTTAGGCTGAAAAGTAAGTTTATTTGATGTTGACCCATTTGAGTATTTATTAGAAGGCAGTGTCTGCGCGTACCCGCATGCGGGTACGAATAGTCAAATTGCCATTCATAGGCTACGCGTACCCACATGAATGAAACGTGAAATATATACGAAATTTGTCGCAATTAGTGAATAAATTGATTAAAACTACTCAGAATTTTTATAACTATTTATATATAGGTAAGTGAACAGTTTTTCTCAGTTAATAAATATTCTTAAAATGGAAGAGAGTGATATACATGTGGGAAGACATTTCAAAGTTATCATGAATTGGAACTATTTGTTCAGAACTATCAGTCGATTAATTTTATACAATTGTATAAAAGAAACTCGGAGTCAATTGCAGCAGGGACTTTCTATACTATAGTATAGAAAATCCCTGATTGCAGCTGCAGAGAAAAGAAGAACTGGAAACACAAAAATTAAAGAGGAATCAAGTTATTCTGTTAAAGAATAAATTTTTCCTGTATTCACGGTGGCAAAAAATTCCAAACAAGTTCGACAGGAAAAAGACCTAATACAAGGTATTAATATTGTTTAAATTATAGTTTTTAATCGAATTTGCCGCGTTTCATTCATTAGTCAGGTTAATTTTTTTTTGTCGAATACTTCTAGTTTTTCTATTGTAATTAAACCGTTCATGATATTAAGGATATGTCTACTGTTCAGTACTTTCCAAATGGAATTGTCCTTTCCGCTTTAAACTTGGCATAACTAAAGATGGACAAAACCTGATTGTGAGGGAATCACACAGTTCTCAAAATCATGAGATCAATAAATGTTTATTTGACCATATTGAAAACGGCACATTTTATAATAGTATTAATTTTTATCATGTTTTTCTTTTACAGGGACTGTACAGTTTCATTTTCCATCAGTGTGCATTTAATTTGCAATGTTTATTATGTATCATTATCTAATAAATACAATTTGAAAATATATTTTTCAAACTCTTCACTCATTCTACACGAAATCCCCATATTATCGATTTCGGTATATGTTTCACGTTTCATTCCCGATCCGATGGCATTTTATTATAAAACCGGATGTGGGTACGCGTAGCCTATGAATGGCAATTTGACTATTCGTACCCGCATGCGGGTACGCGCAGACACTGCCTTATTAGAAATAGCTTCTGTCATTAACCTGTATGTTGTTGTCATCGATGTTTTTTGCAACATTTACAAAAACGTTATTAAAAATTTCAGATATTTCTTGTTGGTTTGTGATGATTTTGTTGTCTTCCTGTTGTATGGTTTCTTTTTAGCTGGTGCATCCTTTGTTTGTTAGAAATGGCTTTACTGTTGGCCAGAAATCTTTAGACTTAGGACACCTGTGCATCGTCTCAGCCCTTTCCTTTTTGTTATGATCAGTGGAAAAGGTATATTATAATAAAAAATACAATATATAGATACCAAAAAACACAATTAAAACAGAACGATGATGACCAATTCCATATCCAAGAATGTTGGCAGTTACTGAAAGCAAGTCTGGAGTAATTAACCTGCTGATATAAAATCATCGTCAAGCTTGTTGAACTTATTATTTTCCCGTGTGCTAAATGGATTTCTTTTTGCTACAAAATTGATGTTTTGTGATGATGTCTGCTGGGAATGAACATGGGGATCCGCGAGTTACATACTTTTCGAGCGTCTTTGCAGTCGAAGTTTTCTGATAAATACATCAGAGTTCGGCCAAATGACGGTTAGTAATTATGGGACACCGTATGGCCTAAAGTATCAACAATGTGCAAAACTAGCAAAATACAAAATTGGTCTAACTATTAAAATTCTTTGTTGATTTCGGAATAAGTACTTATGAAAAGTAACATTTTGTGTAATTGTTATTTGGTACATGTGCATACATATAGTTTCACGTGCATATCAATCAATGTAAAGTATATCTGGGACATCATAATACAATGGTTAGTATAATAGTCCCAGAGTATATAAAACCCTTTTTTTTATCTTTAGAAGAATTAAAAAAATAATGTCCACTCTTCTGTGTTTGCACCAGCTGAAAGTATGTGAAATAATTATTGTTTGCAGCACATGTCTCAGGGCAAACAGTTGTTTCCCCTTTATTCGCTATAATTGTTATTTTAACTACTTAATTTTGTATTCTGTTTAGATACCTTTATTTCAATTTAAAAGCCACCAATATTTTTTCTAATAAAATGTTATTTCATAGCACATAATTTCATTTATCTAATTACATAATTTTAACAATAACCTTTTCAAAGAATAGATTTTAAATAATCAATCCTTAATTAAACAGTGTTCATGTCTATGTCCGGACAAGCTGACAGGATTTACTCTTTTCAGTGACATAATAAGATACCGGTCAAAATTCAATTTTATCTAAAATACGTCAATTTGTTGACCCAACGAGCCAGTGAATAATGAAAATGTTATTTTTGTTATTGTTGATAGTCTGGGTCCAGCCTTGTGTAGGTAGGTCATAAAAATATCAATTTAATGTGATTGTTTTTTATATAAATTTTCATATATTTATTATTATTTCGATTTATTTGTATATTTTATTATCTTCTATTTTATTAATGCACTTATACAATTTTGTTTAATCTTATTTTTGTTACGATTTATTGTAGGTAAATATTAACTCTTCCAATTGGTCATGTATGAACTATATTTCCTACAAAATGCTAGCCTAAAACAATGAAAATTAGCTATGAAATATAATTTCGCTCTTCACATAATCTGATCGACCATAGTTTGTTATCAAATCAGCTTGTGCATGTAGAATATGCATTTCATTGATTTCTGTCAACGAAAGGGAATTTCAAGATTCCAATAAATCTTTACGATTCCTTTTTTTTTCAAATATTCTCTGTTAATTTGAATACTGCTGTATGTGCTTCCTTTAGTAATAAGAGATACACTTTGTACATATAAAAACGAACGTGCTTCTTTAGGTTAACTTTTACTTGGAAGAAGAAAATACAATAAATACATTCAACTATAGTATACCACGCTTTTTGCATGCAGTATCTGTAGCAGATATGAACACAAATAATTAAAAATGCAAAACATTATGGCAGGACTAATATATCTGATTTCACTCGATTTTAGAATATATAGACCATTTAGAATAGAGTATCTTTCTATCTGTAATCACGTGCTTCAAGGTTTTTCTATCTTTCTTTTTTTTTACAACGGTCGAAGAAATAGTGACGGAGGTAGAATTAAGACTATTTTTGAGAAATATAACGTGACAGCATTCAAGAAAAAAGACATTATACAGACCCCAAATTACCCCAATTTCTATCAACAGTAAGTTATATTGCATGTTTTATATTTGATTTTTGTTTTTGGTTACTGGTCGTAAAACTGGAGTTGGCGGGATAGTTCGAACAACACAGATTCAATATACATTAACAGCGAACGAAAAGAAAGACGTCCTCAAGACTCCTAACTATCCAAACTTCTATTTGGAGTAAGTGTGTGTTTAAGATGTGTGGTGTTTTCTGTTTCTTCAGATGATTTTGTTTAATTTCATCAGATTTTATGTATTAGCAGATACCATTTTCAATTATTTTCATTATTTGTTAAATAGCTTTCTTGTATATCTGGGACATCCGACTGTAGATCAGCAGCGGTAAAACCCGAAAAGTTTTGAAATAAGCACCAGATAGCAAAGCAATACACATAAGTTAGTAAATGAGTTAAAAAAATCGATTATATACTATTCAGTAAATATGAGTAATTTGTATGAGTAATACTCCCTGGGTAGCTAAATGGGATACCAAAGGTCAGATCAGCTGTGGAAAAAAAAGAAAAGGTTAAAAATTAGCACAAGCACGTTTTTTATATTTTTTTATGTCACAAGAGCTTATGTGTAAACTTTTCTGTTTTATGCAATGTCGAATTCAAAAACTTTTTATAGTGCCTATGTTTATTATACACATCTGACCGTTCGAGTGCTGTACAATCAGACAAGTTCGTTTAATACATCTACAACGAGATCTTATTGAAACGGTATACAAATATGTCACTGCATGGTATATTTTCTTCCAGAAATGTTGAGATACAGAGTTTTACTGTAACGTCAATAAATATTTGAACGCTATTCCATACTAACACCATATAACAAGAATGCTGATAACAAGTTTTATATTACATGTTTTTTTAGGCCTTTTAAGATCGAATGGAACATTAAAGCAAACAATTCATTCTCTAAGGCCATAGTAAAGTTGAATTTCTTGGACGCTGATTTTCCTCAGTCATTTACCTGTTATGAAGACCATGTGGATGTTATGGATGGTAAGTCATCATGAAATCAATTTACTTACTTTTTTAAAATCTCACCGACTCTGTTCAATCTTGGTACTATTAAATTAAAGATCGTTGACACTTGGAAGTTTGCTTTTATACAAAGATATATCTATTTATACAATGTATAGTTACCGGTTTGTGTGGTTGAAGTATTATAGTTCTTGTTTAACTCTAAACAGAAACGCCCAGAAATCATAGTTCTGGATTAACCTTTAAATAAGCAGGAATACCAAGAAATCATTGACCTTGAGTACCCTTTACCAGGAACGCTCCTTTAGGTCTTTTTTGTCCACTGATCGAGATTAAAAGGTAGACTTAAAGATATCAAAAGAAGTTTAACTCCATCACATGCACATATGCATGTCCCAAGTCAGTATCATCGGCAGTAGTTGTATCATGTCATATCTTAAATTGATTTCACGGTTATTTGGAAATTTGATTTTGATTTCAGATCTTTGATAGTATCTTTTAAATATGTTCATGTATCCTCTTGAATGACGTCTCCATTTGTCCATAAGTAGGCATTTGGTCGTTTCCTAATTAAAACAACTAAAATTTAACGCGTTAAATTTGCGCGAGGAAAAGGTTTCTTATTTTGTAACAGTACTGAATATTTTATGTTGTTTTCTTTTCTAGTTATTTAGCACAGCTTGAAGTTGCAATGATTACAGTTTATGATCACGTTTTTCATTGACTAAATTAGAATTCTGTTTCGTTATATATAAATGAAGTTCAACATTTTAACACATTATTCTGTCTTAGATATTTCCTGAAGTTATCTTTTCATGTTTATCATGGATAAATGTTTCCTTTTCAATAATTACACCCCACCTCCCACCATTTTTGGTAGATTGTCTTGTTCTTTCTGTATAACACATGAGCTAAAAACTATTACTTCCACTTTTAAAAATATTTGATATTTAGAAATTAATTGTTGATTTTAAATTAATACATTACTCTATTTTAATATGGCAAACTATTTCAAGGACTGGTTTGTATTTTCTAATGTTGTAGGAATTATATTTGTATATTTAGGTGAATGTCAAGGATTTCCATCATGAATGATTTTATTTATTTATTCCAGGCCCCTCTATGTTATATTCTACAATAAAGACATATTGTGGTGGATCAGTTCCAGGTTTGGTTACCCTATCTGGCGATTCTGCAACTATATATTTCTATACTACCAGCGAAGACAATAATTATAGAGGATTCAAGATGGAATATTGGGCTGAAGAAGGTATGGTTTTGCATCGAAACAACACCTTATCAATTCAGAAAATCAACACTGTTGTAAAGCCACATGAATGTCTTTTTGTTTTAATCCAACTACTTAGGCGAGAGGCCTCCCGTATTATTGACCAACTTTATACAAAATATACGAAAAACCAAGAGAACTCACTGGTTTTATCCATTTTCATATTAATAAACAGAGAAGAGTGGTACATACGTCAATGACCAAACGACACAAAAGTATTACAGATAACCACCTATAATGTCTATAAACACCCAGACATATTTTTTTTCTGGCTTAATTTTACTTCTATAAAAGCAGTGTTTTTAAACATTGCCAATGAGAAAACTCTCTATAAGAGGCCAAATGACATAGAAGTCATAGGTCAACGTTAGGCCTTCAGCAATGAGCAAAACGCATAGTCAGCTATGAAAGGCCCCGAAAAATGTGAAACAATTTAAACGAGAAATCTTACGGCCAAATTTATTACAAAACAATTTAGAAAAAAAACAAATATTCATTTAATCGTTTGTAAATGATCATCAGTGTCGTATTAGAACATATTACAACTAGTACCTTTTATTTCAGATGTAGATCAGTTTGGACCAATACACTACAGTACTGTTAACTACGTTTTAATGGTGTTAAGTGCTGTTGTTCTTTTGGTAGTATTGATAGGTTTCATATATCTTATCATTCGAGACTGCAGGAAAAAGCCAACAACGTACACACCAAACTTTCAACAATATAGTAAACCGCCCATGAGAAAGCGGTATTCATTTGTTTATGAGAAATATTTCGTACACATGGACCAAAAGAATTTCAAACCATTTGAGAAGTTAAAGCTGCCACCTATCACGGAATCTGTTTTTAGTAGACACGATGAGATAGACAAAATGAAAAGTCCAAATCGTATGCGAGGAGAACTTTGATTTTGATATTTTGTTTAACTGTTAATCTATAATAAATTGTTATCATTTTGTTATAAATATTGAGTCAATGAAGCTGAAAGGGGGTGATTTATATTTACCTAAAGCATACACCCTACGCCCAATTGTGTACATTAGCAGTACACAATCGGTCTAGTTCTTTGCCTAAATCTGCAAATTTTGAGACAGATTTGCAATTTATGTCTAAGACTGTTTATTTGTATACAGTAGAATTAGTGATTAATATTTGTGTTTTTTAAAAATAAATTTTTCAACTTGGCCATTAAAGTGGAGATAACTCTCATAGAATTTTTTTTATACTGGAATGATAGTGAAATTTTCATTTTTTTCCTGCAACAAGAAAACAAGTTCGTTGACACCATTATTTTCTTTTTATTTTCTTAAAGCATATTATAAAACATATCTTCTCATAATTTGTTTCAAAATTCTATCTCATAAATTTCTTTTTATTCACAAAAATGTGTTTTTTCATGAACAATCTATGCAAATTTTGGCAATTTTACACGATTTGTAGCATAAAAATAGCATGTTGACCCATACCTTTTATTATATATTTTAAAACAGCTTAGTAAAATCTTCATTTTGGCAAGGTATAAGAAAATTCGATCTGAGGAAATATATACGACCCACATTAAGCAAACAAAAATCAATCAACCATAGACAGCATAGATGCAAACCATAAAACCTCACAACAGCGTCAATTATTATATAAACCAAATGTTTTCACAGTAGTGAATCGAACAAGTCCAATAAGTAAGGGAAGAACACTTGATTTTGCAGGGAAGGGGGTGGGGGCAGAATGATTTTTCTCGAACTGAATGTTTATTTTCACCTGTTGCTAGGTCGGTTGATATATTTGGCGCAGTTTTGTCATGCAAAAATTGGTTTGATTTGAACAAAATTATTTTGTTCATTTTGTTCAAGGACGTATATTAGATTAGATGTTAGTTGTATATGTACTTGATTTTGTTGGACAGAATATTCATTTTCATCCTGTCTTGGGAAGGATTATTTATTTTCATATCTTGCCAGGCCAGCATATTCATTCTAAAATTCATAGTTACCATCAAACATGGTCGTACCTTTACATTTTTATTGAAGATAGGTAACATTATGACATGAAGATGCTAAGTATGTTAATAACCCTATAGATGAAGCGCACTGTCTTTTCAAACAATGGGATTTCAAGATTTCAAGATTTGATGAATTTGAAGATTACAATTATTATAGGGTTTTCTTTTTGATGATATCTTCAAACCTACATGTATGTCCAAATATATTGGCTCGTGTACTGAGGGATAACATGACGTCACTTGTGATTGATATCATTCAGTAATAAAGATATGCAAAACCAAAAGCTGACTGGGATGTATGACTGGAATATATAATTATGGTCACTATGAAATTGAGAATGGGAATGCAATGGGGAATGTGTCAAAGAGACAACCACCCGACAAAAGAGCAGAAAACAGCTGAAGGCAACCAAGTGGTCTTCACCACAGCTAGAAAATCCCACAACCGGAGGCGTGCTTCAGCTGGCCCCTAAACAAAAATGAGTACTAGTTCAGTGATAATGGACGTCATACTAAACTCCGAAATAAATAAATGAACTAAAATTAAAAATCATACAAGACTAACAAAGGCCAGAGGCTCCTGACTAGGGACAGACGCAAAAATGCGGCGGGGTTAAACATGTTTTTTGAGATCTCAACCCTCCCCCTATATCTCTAGCCAATGTAGAAAAACAAACACACAGCAATACGCACAGTAAAACTCAGTTTAAAAGCAGTCCGAGTCCGATGTCAGAAAAGGTAACAAAAGAAACCAAACAAAATGGCAATGATACATAAATTAACAAAGGACTACTAGCAGTTACTGACATGCCAGCTCCAGACCTCAATTAAACTGATTGAAAGATGATGTCTTCATCATATGAATACCAAGCACAATCCCTCCCGTTAGGGGTTTAGTATCATACCATCATAAAATATATGAGAAGAACATAACCGGTATCATGCCAACAACTGGTTTTAGAATAAATGAGTTTATTTTCGATGCAAAGACTCTATAAGTGAATCAATATCAAAGCCAAAATATGCCATCTTTAATGACCTGACAACATTATCGTAAATATATCCCTTCTTGATAAGTCTGTTTAAAGTTTTTTTTTAGCTTTTGAGGTGAATGCTGACATTTTTGTGCTTTGTAAAGAATATTACCATAAACACTATACACGTTTTACAGTGAAAATTAATTTTTACATCGGAATTTGTTAGTTCATCACTATATGCACTGTATATTTTTCTTTCAATAAAAATGTGTTATCAAATTTAAAAAATCACTTTTGCGCATTGCCTCCACTGTTCATTTTCTGTATACAGTATGCGGTACACCAAAAGAAAGGCGAAAGACAAAAAAGGGATATCCAAACTCTCAAGACGAAAACGAACTGACAACGCCATGGGAAAAAAGAAAACGAGCAAAAGACAAACAACAGTATACAAATTATAACATAGAAAACTAAAGACTGAGCAACACAAACCGAACCGGAAGGGTAAGCAGATAAAAGTCAATATCACTTAAAATGTAAAATCCCCTAAAATAACTATTGTTTGGCTGTGGTACTATGCAGTCATGTCCGATAAGAATTGGTACCATGTTAAATTCGATTCCCCGTATTGGGAGATAGTACCATGATTTTTCGTGAGAACCTTGCTAAAGCACTTAAAGGTGTCATAAATGAATTGCTACAATTTTAAGGCATAATTTCTGCGCCTACCTCTAATCCTAATGCATATGATCGCAAGACGATATTTCGTTGTTCTGATGTAACTATTTGCTTTTTAATTTTCTTCATTCTTTTTTTTTTTCTCTATCAATGAGATGAATCAACAAAAAAATAAAAATATCAGCATTAAATTGGGAAAAAACAACCATGCCAAACGATATTTACACTGCTGCAGTTCCACCTCTTGTCCAGATCGGCTTCTAGATCTTACACATTGATATCGCGTTAACTATTTCAACATTAACGGGAATGGACTTTTTGCTATATTTGGTTAATATATCATTTACCCATACATATTTTGTCTAGTGTTGACATGAGTCCAACTAGGAAACATAAATATAGATATGACTTTCGTCGAAGTAGAATACATGTATAGATTTATTCAAATTCTTTTCGCAGTAAAATGAAATAAAAGAAGTTATAAAATAATCTTACTAGTAATTGAAGCTCTTACACTTGCTCGGAAAATATGATAACAAGGAGACTTGGATGTGACCTTAGAATTGTAAACTCTAGGTTTATTTGAAAAAAATGCACTCCGTGTGGGATTTGCTATACGAAAAGATTAATTTAAATGTTATGTGATTAAATTGTTCGCTCTCTTCATTACAAACTTTATGAATGATAATCTCTTTTTAATCTTTTAAAACTACATGTACAACGAGCGTTTTGATTTATAGGTTATGATGTTCTAGTGTTGATATTTATTTATAATTGCAAGGGGGAAATGTTTCATTCGTATGGAAGTGGATGTATTATTTATTACTTTATAACTATTGGTAAGTTTTGATAAAACAAAATAAAATAAATCTGCAGTAGCAATTGTAAGAAGCAGCATTTAATTAACCAAAATCAGTTGTAATATATCTTCAATATCATTTTGACCTGATCAATCTTACAAGTGTCACTTATTTTTTTTTTAATTGGTGTCTAATACTGTATACAAAAGAATGTAATTTCACATTTTCATCATAAAAAAAAAACAAAAACAAATTACAAAAAAAAAAATAAACAAAAAACGTTTTGTGCTTTATACTGGACGATGAAACGAATAATGGTTTTTAAGCTTATAAAATATTCTCTTAAAACTCTTGTAACTGGCAACTTTTTGATGTATACCATGTGAATAATTTGGGTGTTGGGTATCTGCCAATAAGAGAGGGAGAGTAACCAAATGCCCCCCTTAAAATACAGATACAGCTGAACGGATATGGTTCCAAAATTAGAATAGTGTACATTCTATATGTTAAGACGTCTCCAATCTAAATTGGAAAATTGGTTACGCCTCAGTCTGTGAGACAGCAATACAAAGACTCAGAAACAAACAGAGACTGACTTTTGCAGGCATATTAGTGACAATCACGTTGGTACATCAGTAACCATATACAATGGCGGATCCAGGGGGCCCTACCACCCCCCCCCCCCCTTTCGTGGGAAAAATTTGGTTGATTATAAAGGGAATCACTGAAGCATGGCTGGAGCGGGCCCCCCTTAGGTCAGTCAGCGCCCCACCCCGCCCCCCTCCCTTCTGAAAAGTTCTGGATCCGCCACTGATATAATATTCGTGTGGACCTATTACATGTAGTTTAATCACGTGGATACATTTATACGAACGATACTAATGTTGGCCCATAAGTAGAAGTTTTTTCATTTTGTAAAGTAAGGAATAAGAGATCATATTATATTTTGAAAATGGTGGAGTCACAAAAACTTTCTATTTAAGGAATGATCTTGGGTTTTTGAAGCCAATGTTAAATGTTTCTTTAAAGCTTCAACAATGCTCCAAACACTTCGAGAACCTTGTAAGAAGATTGATTTATTGATGTTTGCTTTATGCCGCGTCAGCGCAAAAAAGGTATATCTTGGCTATAAGAAGAAAGTATGGGACGATATATACTGATTTATATTTACTAGTTATACTAATATAGAAATGTGCAACGATAGTACTGATAAAAAATATAAGTAAAATAAACATCGTCTATAATATAACTTTAACAAAATAAGATACAATTAAAATGCGCTTTGAGCTATAGAGCATAATAAATGATAAACACTATTTACATGTCCATTTGTTAATTTTTACTTGTATTTTTGGTTCCAGCTTTGGTAAATACCGCTACAACCTCTGTTGGGTTGACAGCAAATGGAAAAAGAAGTGTTATTACCTCTCCAAATTATCCACAACCATATGGAGAGTATGTATTTTTGTTTAATCGACGAAATGCCAAACACCAGTAACAAAACACCACACAGAAAACCAAAGATCAAGCATCACTAACCCATCGTAAGACCATGTTTGAACTCAAATGCTCTTGAAAGGATAATAGTTCCCGCTTTCCGTGTGACACCCGTCGTGTTGCCTATGTAATATCATATGATACGTCGCATTCGGTATTGGTACACTCATGACATTTCTTTATGCTTTTGGATTGTAATGGGGTTTTATCCCATGAACCGGTCATACATTGTACCTTGCGAGTTTATAGAATTGTGCAAGTGTTTGGTTCTTATAGATTTTCAGATAAGCATTCAGGTAATGACGTGTTACGTGCACTCATAACTTTGGTAAAGATAAAAAGGAAAAAAAGGAAATGATATTGGTTTAAAATTCAAAATCACAGGATTGTTACATGTACGAAACTTGACAATAAACATTTAATCACATATCTGTTAACGTTTATATACAGATTGCTAAGACGATCTTAGTTAGTATATCGGGTAATGCAGGAAGAGAAAAGCTCATTTTACAAGAAAGTCCATATCTTTGCCATTGTAGTAATCAATTGGCCAGTGTGAGCTATTGCTGTTATTTTGCATCCATCTGGCCGTTATTGACCATTATAGCTTCTCGAAAAACCTTGGTATTTGTCAAATTATGTTTTTTTACTACACATTTTGGTCGGTACAATAACATTTGAAATGTTGATTAATCTTATTAGCATAATAAGATCTATGATTTTAAATGCTAATATAAAAGGTTACTGACTTATTAATATCGTATAAGTCTTTCTTTAAATAATGACTCCTTAGACTTATTGTTTACCTCATAATTATACTTTTGCTGTTATATCATTGTGTCATAATTTATTTGGAATAACAACAAATCGTATACCAATATAGGTAGAAACAAGACTTAACATTTCTTTTATTTTTCTGCACTGAACTGCTGTATAAATTGAAACTATATTGTCATTAAAATGTCATTAAATTATAGCCAGAGAGCACCAACACGTGTGCTTGTATTTTTTCCGCTCGTTACATTAGATTTTTTTAAAAAAGGTTAGATATCTTGCCCGTAATGGAGATCAGTTTCGCTTTTTGGACAGAGTATCTCTAGATCAATAATATAAACTCGTTAACCTTATCATATAAAGTGGCCAATAGTCCAAAAAGAGAGGTGAAAGCTACCAACGGGATAGTCAAACTCATAAGTCGAAAACAAAGTGACAATGCCATGGCAAATAACGAAAAACAACGAAAAGACCACAAATAAAACTACATAAAACACAACATAGAAACTAAAGAGTGAGCAATACGAACCACTAGCTATTGAAGCTAGTTAATGTTATTTCTTTACAGTTCTTATTCTTTAGAATGGAACATCCTTGCCGACAGCAGTATACAGAACGCCATTGTCCATATCGAAGTTTTAGATAGTGAATTATCAAACATTTTTAACTGCTACGAGGATATTATAGAAATTATAGATGGTAGGTCAAATAACTAGTATCATAAGAATGTTCAGACTCACAATTCATTTCAGATTTGTTAAAGTACTTTGCGCTATCTTTTAGTCTTTTTGTACTTTTGATAACTTTTTGTTATAAATTAGGCCGTAAAATTTCTCGATTGAATTATTTCCCATTTTCATGCCGGGGTTCTTTGAAGCCGACTCTGCGGTATGGGTTTTCTCATTGTTGACGGTCGTACGGTTGTTTATTATTGCTTAAATCTACTTCATTTGAACTTAGGTCGATAGTTGTTTACCACATCTCCTTATTTTTATATTAATTGCCTATCATTGTTTTGCTTCCAGTTTTGGTTTTTGTTATCTGATATACCGGTATTAAAGAGCTAATTAAGTGTTTTCATGTCCTGATTTTTATTGTGGTTCTACGTTTCTTGATGTAAGTTTTGCAGATAAAAACGTAAATAGGGTTGGTATTTCTGATAGACTGTATAAGTATTATAACAAATAAGCAGCAGAAAGAGAAAAGTGGAGTAATACAAATTTGGATTTTTGTTACTTTATCTTAGATTATATATAATGACGATTCGTTCGCTTCATTTTAGGTCCATCAAGTCTGTATTCTGTCATCAGGTCGTTTTGCGGAGATTCTTCACCGTCGGGTATAGTTAAAACATCAGGAGATAGTGCCACAGTCACATTTCATGCCAGCAAAAAGGACAATGATTATAAAGGATTTAAATTGGAATACTGGGCCCAATCAAAAGGTAGGCATACATTAAAACAAAATACCATCACAGACGTCGTTTTTAACTGTACGGGCAGTCCTCAATATCGTTATAATATGCATGTAATAAAGTCCCTTTGCAGTGCGGGTATGCGTCCCTGTCAGGTGCACGGTATCACAATTATCGCATTTTTCTGCACCAGATGCGCATTTTTTCAGTGATGCTTGAGTCCAAACTATTTGAAAATCCAAAGTTTATCAAAAAAAATGAAGAGCTTATAAACAAAAAGGACAAAATAGTTAGATAGTTTAGTGAAAGTCAGGCAAGGTATCATAACTTTGCATGACGGAGATATCTTCTTTAATTCAAAACAATTTTCAACATTTGTTTTTGAAAAAGTGAGACGAAGGATACCAGAGGGGCATTACAACTCACAAGTCAAAAATGAACTGACAACGCGATGGCTAAAAAAAGACAAACAGACAAACAATTATGATATACAAAACACAACATAGAAAACTAAAGATTAAGCAACACGAACCCCACCAAAAACCGGGAGCGATCTCAGGTGGTCTTTTTAGCCATGGTGTTGACAGTTTATTTCAACTTACAAGTTTGAATTTCCATTTGGTATCTTTCACCTCTCTTTTAATACATGTTAACACAGTAGTTATAATTTTATACAGATAGATACATTTTCTTATTTGCAGACATGACACCCTTTAGACCAGTGAATATGACATCTCTTCATTGGACACTACTGGTCATAAGTATGGTCATTTTTACTTCTTTTATTGGAGGATGTATATTCCTGGTCGTCGTAGAAATGGATTACCGGGAAAGAAACGAAAAAGAGAAAGGGAAGTGGGTCACTATTTATGATAATCCACCTGATTACGTGCTACCTACAGTAGGAGGTGAAATACCGATCAAAACTGAAAATGAAACCTCGACGAAAAAGAAAACTATAAAGGAACATCTCGAGAAAACCAAACCAAAGGCACAACCAGACTTAAAATCTGATGATAAAAAACTACCACCTCTTAAGATAATACGACCAACAATGAACATAAAACAATGGAAGACGTTACTAACTAGAGAAGAAAGCAACACATAAAGCTCAGAGATAACACGATACAGTCTTCAATATTATGACATTGTTTATGAAAAGATGTCATTTTAAGTAATATCACAAAAAGTGACATTCAAAGACGACAAGAAAATGTGTTGAATCATAGTCCGACGCTGCCAATGTTTATAAAAGAATGCAACTTATAGTTGTTATATTACTGCAATATTAGAATCACGTTGAATTAACAATAAATTTAATTTTATTTTCCATATTAAACATACGAATTTGCACTGAACTTGCATTACAATGCTACTAGACATTCAGTTACTGTAGATTATGCACATTGAGCCACCCGATCCTGCAATGTTAGCTCTCTAACATTTGATTTTTATGGGGTGTGTGGGGGGGGGGGGGGGGGGGGGGCGAGGATGAAATTTGAAAAAAGACAGGACAGTAGTTTTGAGTAAAAAAAAAGGCAGGATGAGCAACTTGGCAAAAAAAAAAGCCGGATGACAATTTATGTAAAATAAATTGTTTCGCCGAGCGCAGCTGGATACGACCGCAGAGGTCCAACCCTGAACAGTTGGGGCAAAAATGGACACAATATTCGCGCTTGATACAGGTCTGAATTTGGATTGTAATTCAATATTTGACACATAATAGGTTTCTGACACAGAATAACTGTAGTCAAAGAACTTAGAATTGGTTATATGATCTGAATTTATATTAATTTTTTTGCTTTTGTGCAATATACTATGCTGTTGCGAATTGACCTCCCCTTTTTCAAAAAAAAAATTGAAGAATTTTCTTGTTGATTTCTGAAATCTTGAGGAGAAAAAATTGTCCCCCCACCCCCCCACCACCATTTTTTCACCCCCTCCCAATTTTTGTTAACCTCCCCCCCCTTTTCCAAAAAATATTCTTTCCCTCGGTCATGATCATAATTTCAATTTAAATTTCCAATGGAGTTTGCAACCATAATAACCCATTTAAATACATGTACATCATAAAAGTCTTAAAATAGAAAATGACATACATAATCATAGCTAAAATTAATTTAACTTAGTCCGCGTTTTTGAAATTATTTAAATAGTAACTTCTAAAAACGAATCGACAGCTAATCACCTCAAAACAATACAAACATTCTTTATACATAATTTAAAAGCAGTGTAAGGGAGGTAATTCCCAGTTGTGTTTGAATTACCTCCCTTACACTGTAGTTTGTACTTAAGTAATTGTCCATTAACCAGGACACCCTTGTTTTTTCTCACCTTTTTGCCCCTAATTCCTAAACGGTTTGAGCCAAAAAAAACCAAAGCCAATTCTAACCACCCCTTTGTGGTATGGAAACGTGTGGTATAATTTCAGAGAGATCCATACACTGTTCCACAAGTTATTGTCATGAAACTAGAAAAATGCTTATTTGGGCCCCTTTTTGTCCCCTTATTCCTAAACTGTTGGGACCATAACCCTAAAAATCAATCCCAACCTTCCTTTTGTGGTTATAAACCTTATGTTCAAATTTCAGAGATTTCTATTTTCTAATACTAAAGTAATTGTCCGGAAACCAAATGTCTTCGGAAGACGACGACAACGTGATACCAATATACGACCGCAAAAAAAAAAGGCAGGACCGAATAGATTGAAAAACAAAAAGGCAGGACAGAGATTACAACTAAAAAAGAAGCAGGAAAAAATTGTTCATCCCCCCCCCCCCCCCCCCCTAATCCCCATAAAAATCAAATGGTAGCTCCCTTAGCCAGTAATAGTGGAAATCTATTAGTAAAATTAGTCTGCTAGTAGTACTAATAACAGTTTACTTTTATACTGCACAGTATAGATGTTAGACGTTGTAGAAGAACTAACAACGTACAATATATACATATTACTCAGTACAAACACGGACCTTTTCCGGGATATTATTGGTGAAGTATTTCAGTTACGGTGGCACGGTAGTATTTCCTAACCCATAGAGATAACGATAGCCTTTTTAGAATTTTCACCACTTTCTAACACTGCCCAAAATTCTACATACACAGTTAACTGAAGTATTTTCATTATAATATTCAGAAATGAATTTATGTTTTTTTTATATAGATTAGACCGTTGGTTTTTCCCGTTTGAATGGTTTTACACTAGTAATTTTTGGGGCCATTTATAGCTTACTGTTCGGTGTGAGCCAAGGCTCCGTGTTGAAGACCGTACTGTGACCTATAATGGTTTACTTTTATAAATTTTGACTTGGATGGAGAGTTGTCTCATTGGCACTCATACCACATCTTCTTATATCTATTAAATATGTATCATGACCATTTACTTTTTTTGCTATCTTTACAAACCTAAGGCCACTAGTGCTTTTTTAGGTATTTTATCATGCAGTGAATACAAAATTAAAAAAAAAATCTCAAAATTCATTTTCACTTGTATGTAAAATTATTTCATATTTTTCTACACCTGATTCATCCCTTAGTTTGGGGAAGTATGTTCAGTAGATACTGTATTTTTTGTCCAATCACACTGTTCAGGTACATTGACTTAAGTAGGGTAAACAAAAGAGCAACCTAAATTCCGGAATGTAAATACTACAGTGCCACCTAAACAAAGACATCACAAACTTGAAACCAGTCATGACACCTATGATACATAGACTTCTTTCTCGGAAACATATTACAATAAAGAATACTAGACTGCACTTATTTCTTGCCAGAAAAAAATAAAAGATTATACCCCTACCCCATCTGACAGATTTTCACTTTTTTTTCATCTTACCACTTTTACTTAAAGAGTGAACAAAAACTAAATGTATAATGTTTCAAATCAGCACAGAAGTAAAACATGGTGATTCAGGAGGAACTATTGGGTTGCCAACTCTATTTCTAGTTAATCCGACTGAAAGAAACAGTATAAGTACCAAATCATGAAAAAAGATAGTAAAAGTCCATTCCACATTTTGCAGCATGCCTTACATTCCTTTACACATTTCCAGATTAAGTAGGTAATATAACAAGACTCTTTAGATGGCAGTTAACTATTATTCTAAAATCTTTTTGACAATACATGTACTAGAATATATCTCTTAGTTGGCTGTTTGTCTCTTTCTCATGTATGCATTAAGTTAGATTGTGTCCCCTTACATAATCAATTTACCTTTTTTGTGCTTTTCAGGGTCAGAAAATTAAAACAATTCATGACATTTGCATAGAAAATGAATAAACTATCTAATCTATCTGACATACAATCATAATCACATTCTTTGACCAAAAAATGGTCTTATCAATGTAAAGAAACCCCTAATGCTAACTCTATTTCAGCTAAATATGGGGGCTAATAGAATAAGTAAGGACCCTTTAACCACTTACTGGTCCCAAAAAAGCTCATACTGGTGTTATGTTACCACAGAACTACAAATTAAACCTGAAGAAAACTAGTATAGCTGTACTTCTGTGGAAAAAAATAAAAAAATATACACTTTATTTATTTTGGTGAAAATTATAGGATGTACAGGCAACTAAAATATGTCACGTCTCAAATTCCAGTGGTTGCACATGTGTCAGACACTGCGAAAAGTTAAAGCGAGCATTTATAATTAAAAATCTATTGCAAGTTACATTAAAATTATTAAGTTCTGTAATTTGATTCAAAAGAGACATTTATAAATATAAAAAAAGAAGATGTGATATGATTGCCAATGAGACAAATCTTCACAAGACACCAAATGACACAGAAAATCAAATTAACAGCTATCGGCCAACGTACGGCCTTCAACAATGAGCAAAGCCCTTACCGCATAGTCAGCTATAAAAGGCCCGGAAATGAACGAAAAATTAAACAAATATGATGTACAGCAACAAACGACAAACACTGAAAACAAACCGTTCCAAAATTATCCGTTTATAAATTTTTAAATTATAAAGAATTCGAAACTAAGGTTTTAACTCCCTCAGGCAAAGCTGACCTTAGATGGATTTAGCTATTTTTAGGTATATTTTTTTTTGTCATATAGCTCTTCAAATGTTTCGGAACTTATGCATTCTCGGCTTTTATATATTCAGCTTTGAGCGTGTCTGGTGAAGGTAAATCTTGACAAGTTTGAGCCTTTTAAAAAGCTGTGGACTGCTTCGCTCTATCCTAATTTAAGGTAATACGTGTGCATGTGGTTGTTGATTTAGTATTGAAAATGTGGTATTTTTAGATATTGATTGATATAAAACTTGATGTCTTAGACTTGGAATATCAATTTTTGTATATATATATTAAGATGAACTTTTCTAAAATTTTAAACTGGCTGTTCATGGTGTTGTAAGTTATACACCAATGCTTTTAAAAAAAATCGATTTACTTGTTGAAATTTTAAACATTTACAAAACACGACTCTCGAGGTGTGCCTCGCTGGAGGTGTGCCCAGATTGGCAGAAGTTATAAAATACAGATAATGTAAACATTGTATAGGAACATTGTTTAGCTAAACAAATCGTGCATATTACAGATTAACAAAGCAAATAAACAGGTGTTAAACAATTGATATTTCAATATTGAATTTCAGTATGCAATATTTGCATAATAAAACGAACATGAATTAATAACACTTGATCGGAACTGAAATACACATAGTTAATTTTCCGGCATTTGATGTCTTATCTTGAGACGAGAAAATTATGTAATTCTTTATCTCATTTAAGCCAATGCTGTTGCTGTATATCAGCCGAATCATAAAGCAACCAATCAGAATCTTTATGTGATAAGTAATTATTTCAAGATGGAATGTATATCGACTGAAACTAATAGCTCCGCACCGTGATGCGAAGCAAAAAGCGCTTCGGAAGCATGAAATTATTTAACGGGTTGTTTTTTGTTTTTTTTTAACCCACACAAGGCCTACATTGAATATCGAAGAATATGTTTTATTTCCATTAAATGGGCTCACAAGGAGCATAGTACAATATAATTAAGACACTAATTTATAAGACAATAACAAAAAGAAAAAATGCAGTTGTAGGATTTAATAATGTCCGCCATGAAATAATGTCTGCCGGACAATTTTGGAAACTGTCTTGTTGACACCAAGATGAAAGCCACTTTCATCATGACACATAAACAATACAGTGTCCATCTTATTACAAAGAACCACAAGTTTGTCTGTGATACTTTCGTTGGCCTTCTTGTCCTTATAAATATAATATAACTCCCCTAATTTGATTATATAATTTTAATATTTTCTTCGAAGTGTTTGCCTTACAGTTTCATTGAACTTTTCTGAATATTTCTTTGAACTTAGACCGTTGTAAATTTGTCGGTATTTACTGACATCTATTTTTTATATTTAAAATCATCTATTTCTTATCGGCGGAGGTCATTGAACCACATTCACATGACATTTTAGCGAAAACATTCGGACGTTTTTAGCGCAAAAGTATAATCCATTTTAGCGCAAGATTATCAATGCCAATTCTTAGCGACAGAAATTACGAAAATAAATTTAAATAGAATCAATAAATAAAGCACAATATATATACAATATATGTACATTGTCGGAAAATATAAAATTTATTTGTATGAGCTTTAGAAACAGGACGAAAAGCGAGGCTCTCCGACAATGTACATATATTGTTTTTATCCTGAAATTTACACCCAAAACTTGAAACTTTAGTTGTTAAAATCTAAATCATTGTCTCTAATTATTCAAAGAAATTGACATAGTTCAAACGCGGACCGCGAAGAGGAACCCAAAATGAACCGGTACGCTAAAAGAAATATCCACATTACCGCTTGCTCAACATGGAAGCGGGGTATCAGGAGACTTACAAGTACAAATAAAGCAAAAATTTATTTGTGTACCTGTTATTTGTTCAATAGTTAGCTGATTGAAGGATAAAAAAAATATGATGTCAATTACAATACAACATTAAAAGTCTAAAAGGTTATAACTCAAATGTTACAAGTCCGTTCTAGTCTAAAATTTATATTATAGAGAACGTACGTAAAGGGCTCTTGATATACCCCCTGTGCAATATCATAAGATTGGAGTAGGAACTGGTCCTTTTCTTTATTTTGTCTAGATTGAGGTGCACATTCATCTACACTTCTTATTTTGATAAATGTTGTTGTTTTCAATTTGATGATAGTATCCAGAAAACCGGATAACGTTATTTCCATGATTAACCAAACTGTAAATTCAAACAACTTTTAAATCATTAATTAAGCCAGCATAAATCACTGTTCGTGGTTTTAGTATGATGAATATTATTAAACCAGGTAAGTTGGCGCTAAACGGGGCTATCGAAAATACAGAACGGATTAATCCTGCGCTAAAATGGGCAATAATGTCTGAGATAGAATGTCCCCTGGTACTTAATTTTTTTTCGCTAAAATGTCCTGCGCCCTTTCTTTTACTACGTTCTTAATTAATTATTATTTACAATTCAAGTATAATATAACATTTTGATGACCTCCTTTTGGAGGACATAATTTTATAATATCTGCTATGAATATTTTTCTGTAGGAGGACAGTATTTATCAACGATTGCTACACAATTCATTCCACTTAAAAAACAGAATTTCATGGTAAAGGACATTATTTGATACTTTAATTGTCCAGGTGGACACTTTTTCACATGACACTAGTCTAGTATTTCTTACTTGGACAAAACCGTATTCAAACTGTATTTAATAATTTATGTTTATCAATGGCGTAATAGAGTTTAGTTTAAGTGTTTAGCAGAGGCGGATTTAGGGGGGGGGCCTGAAGCATGACTGGAGCGGGCCCCCTCTTAGGCAGTCAGTGGGCCCCCACTTATGAAAATTTCTGGATCCGCCACTGTTTAGTACAACTATGTGAACACACTGACCTAAATCATTTAATTCATTTGATAGTTATCGTGTGTTGTTGTCAATTCGGGTTTTACTTTTTTTAAATACTTCATCGTTAATACGTTTAAGGCAGAAACAATCCTTTCCTTTGTTTATTAAACTGTAATACCAGAAAACGTCGTTAACCCATACCAATAAAATAAATAATAATATAAGCGTGCTATTCAAACAATTAAAAAGAAATTGTTAAAAAAGAAACCACATCTTTATTTAGAATTGAAAATTTTCACTATTCGGAATTTCCTTTTTCAGTCTTTTGTCGGTAAGGTGCATTTAAATTATTTTTGTTGTACCTAAAGTTGAATAGACTAGTCGATCTAATGGAATTTGCTACCATGCTATTTGAATAAGGTAAGTGAAAAGCAAAACTTGTCAAAGATTTCATAATATTTTCTGAATTGTTTCCCCCATCTATTGAATCTGTCGAAATAATATTTTTTATCTAAATGAATTGAATGAAATAGTTAAGAACTGTCTCCATAAATAACATGGGTTTTACCAAAAATGAAACAAATAATGGAAGATATTAAAGGGGCAATAGCTGTCAAATTCATGTTCATCGATTTGACTCAAATTCTCGTATTTGATTTCTAACAATGTAAAACATTTATCCAAATTATAAAAAGTCTAAAATAAACAATTTACACGGCATGGGCTCGATAATATGTAGCTTCGTTGTGTGTGTAATTTAGTCTAGATGCCATCTAATCAACCACCGAGTTTACCTCCGAAGACATCTGATGGTCATAAAAGCGATATAAACATAAATATAGATATAAATAAATAGCGAACTCGTGGAATTGGATTTTTCTAGGTCTGTTTAATTTCATATTATAGAGTAAAAATATATGGTTATCATCGTTTTTACCTGTATAAGAATGATTTTTGTGGATCGAATTTGTTGATTTACCTTTGTTTCACTTTCAATGTTGACATTCTTTTCCTTTAATAACTTAACACGCGCAATTCATGCGTTATCCATCTCTAGCTAAGGGGTTAAATTGAAGTTCACATGAATACGGATTCAATGAGGTCTAATTATTCACTTGCAAGTGAATAATTCATCATCAGTGTTTCATAGCTTATTTTGATAATATTGAACCATACTGGCTGCTAAAAGCGAATTATTATTTCACTATTTCACTTTCATTAATGATTGAACAAAAAAAATGATATTTCAGATTTTTTATGTATCTCGGAGCTATTGCCCCTTTAAAACGGTCATATCAAATATAATTCCGTCAATGCTCATTTCGACACAAACTATTTTTTTTTAAAAACTACCTTTCAATAGGTTTCTGTTTTTTTTTTTCTTCAAATATGAAAAGATAAATTCGTCTTGAACAGTCTTGAACACTTTAAACGTCTTATATTACAACAATTAGACAGCAAAAACAACACAAATTCATGTTAAAAGCCTAAAGGTAATTAGCGATCTAGAAATTGAACTTCTACAAAAAACCAATGCTGAAGTTGAGAACCGTATTTCGATCATTTAGATGTCATGTGGGCTTTATCATGGTGATGGATTGATGTCTCGTTTACGTAAACATCTTCTTATTTTTATATTCCTATGCGCTCTTATTTCTCTCTATTTGTGCAATTTAATTACAGTTATATTGTTTCCAGATATAAACAATTTGTCAAGACGCGCACCAAAACAATGGAGAAAGACGAACGTAACACGGATGAAATGACACAATGTAGCTTCAAGTTGCATGATTTAAAGCACATTGACTACCCGGGAAGGCGTCGATACGGTTCAAAAGTACAACAAAGTTATAGTGGCGTTTTATCCAACGATATGTTTGCGCAGTTTGAAAAAGAATTCAAATCCTGTATGACGAGGCGACAACAGAAGAAACAATGGATTATAAATTTATTGTATCCGCTTAAGTCGACGATAAAATATTTTGAATATCTGGAGAAGTTTACATATCTCGAACCAGGTAGTTCTTTAAAATACATTTGTTTGCTATTGTTGTATTTTTCTAACTTTTTTATAAAAAAAAAGTCAGTTACTAATACTCCCTCCCGGTCAATAAACACAATTCAATACAATGATACAAAAGAGAGGCGAACGATACCAAAGGGATATTCAAACTGGTAAGTCTAAAACAAACTTACAAAGCCGCGGAAAAAACAATACATAAAACATAATATAGAACCTATAGACTGCTCGACACGTATCCCACCAAAAACAGTGCTAATACAATGATACAATTTAATAAAAACCAATATAATTGTAACATATATGGTGCAAAAAAAATACCTGTTAAAACTCAAGATCCTTTTAAAGAATCCTCGCGTCTTGTTAGCCTTGTTACTTGTGTTTTTTATATGCTCGTTCTAGCTCAGGTTTGAACTGATGGAACAGCCTATGTACTTCGCATAAACTTTACATGTTGAAGGGTGTGGCCATGCTATGCGCATTTCAAACTATAGGTTTGCGTTTTCTTATATTTAAAATAAAAAATAAAATTCATTGAAGTCTTTTTCAATGTTGTCAAAAATTACTTTATAAAACAAGTATCATTTGCGAACAAAAAAGTATCCTGTTCACTTATTTCTTCGTCAATCTTAGTATATTTATCATTTTGAAATTCCCAAAACGTAACTGGTTTTACGAATATTTTTGGGGGTGCTAATTTTTTGTGTGTCTCGAGACTTATAGAATATTAATTAATATTCTGTATATGATATCAAACAAACGGTTCAAACGGGACGATCATCAATCTATATTAAGGAAGATAACCATACTTTTGACCATATAATAAATACACTTGATAGTACTTAGTAGGGTGCCCAATGTCCAACAAGTCCTCTAGTTAACGAGTTTAAGTTAACGGATAACACACGGCTATTTTTTTTGGCAAATTGTAGGAAAATCATTATATTTTACAATCATGATAGTCGTCGTAAGTTCCCATGGTCACGATTTTCTAAATTTTGTGTTTTTACAGGGTACCCGCAGATACCGTATTGTACCGGAGAAATCTTTAACATGAAAAATAAAATTATTACGCTCTTTGTTGGTGGTTAAAATAATACTTATAATATAGTTTATACATTAAATATATCATATAATAAAAGTAGAAAGTATTAAAGTGATTTAAGTATAATTATTTCAGCATTTTAGTAAGACTAAAATTTTACCCTAAATTTACCACATTTTCATCAAAAGCAAAATTATTACGTGTATCATCTCGATAATTTTAACTCTGATTAAAGCAATAAGACACGGTGCATGTGTGTGCCAAATTTTATGTGTGAAATAAAAGTAGTTATTAAGAAATTAGCAATTAAAAACACAAATTAAGTCAACATTTTGGCATTGATTAAACACGGATTATCCCGTGACATAATCATTTTGTTGCTTACACTATTTGGTCATAACAAGGACAGTGGTCACTCATTACATTTCCCATTTATGCTTGTTTTGTGGTTAATTTATTTGTTTTGAATAGCCAGCTAACTTTGTAAATTATTATTTTCTTCGGAGGAATATGTTTATTGTCTGCCACGGTTTTTCAATACTTTTTAAACTTTTTATTGAAAAGATATTTTTGTTACAATTGTAGTACAAGAGTCAAATCGGTCGGTTTCGTTTCATATCCGGAATATGGCACATCAAGTGTATGTTATGGTCTTGTTATGTTTTCGACCTAAATCCCCCTCGGTGTGACAGACAACAAAAATGTATCACCGTTCCTGCTATGAATTATTCACCAGCAGAAACAAATGCAATAATTTCAAAGCTGAATTGGCAATAGGTTAGTTCGAGCAAACCACTGAAGCCAATGAACGATTTGTGCCAAGCTAGCAGCAGGAAAAATATTTCCGGATTGACCCTTTTTTCGTCTGTTGCTACGCTTTCTTATTCTTTTAGCGGCATTGCTGCACGAAAATTTATTTTCACTTTTGTACACACTTATATCCTCAAATATCTTGCATTTCATGTTGCAGCGTGATCATTTTCATTCGGTCTTTTGCAAAGTCATTGATTCTCAGTTCATACCAGGCCAAGTTATTGATTTTCAAAATCCTCCTCCCCTCCCTCCTTTCGAAATTAAATGGTCGTTCCCTTATTGAAAGCTAATGAAAAGACGTCTTAAATTTATAGTCCGAGAAAAGAATCATCATAAACATCATTACTGAAAAAACTAGGATTGACTAAATTATGTCGAAATTTTTAGAGGAAAGGATTATGCTTCTAATTCTCATTTTGTTTTCATAACTTTGACGGACAACACTCCCCCTTTTTCACCGTTTGCAGTCTTTCTTATTTCTACAAAGCAAAGATATACTCAGACCTGCTAATTCAATCCATTATACGTTAATATTACACCAGTTTTGGAACTAAGTACAATTGTATGTGCTTCCACGCTCACCAAAAGAAAACTGGATATTTTTCCAGAAAATCATTACGAACACCTTCTATCAAAAGACGGAAAAATAACATTTTGGAAGGGCAACTTATAAATGTTAATATCTAAAAAACATCTCTAGAGATCACTTGTATCGAATCTTACGAAAAAAATCCGAATTTGGAAATTTTAATAGGTCAAGGTCAGTGTTGTTTAACAGTTGAATGAAAATTGTAAATGTGCACCCTATAAGTACTAATGTCAATCTCGAACCATATTTGGCAACATAGATATCAAATTAGTCCTAAATATAGAAACTATAGTTATAATCCCTTGAATTATTCGAATTTATTTTGATATAAACGCATAAAATTTGAGCTTTGACCTTTTGACCCAAATTTAAGAAAATCGTGACCACTGTAGACAACGACAACATCAATATTTCTATGAGGCTTGTTCATCCCTTTCCAATGATATCAAATTACTACTATAGTCGTTCAAAACACGTAAAAAGGTATACTAGTATATGTAAGTCTTGTTAATTAAAGCAGTGTTAATGGAACGTTTATATAATTTAAACAGATATCATTGCGTTGCAACAAAGTGACGAAAAAGACATGGAATCATTCAACATTCTAAGAAAGATAGTCGGAACTGAAGCGGATATACGCATTAGACAAAGGCTATTTATAATACAAGATATGATCAACAATGTATGCGCTCCATATGTAACTTCTATATCAAGTGGAAGCCTAGCCGAGGGGATGGATCTTCCTGGTAGTGATGTAGATGTAATGAGAGTAATAACAAATGTTCACGTGGTGCAAACTATACAACATATAAAGTCTTCCTTTCAATATACAATACTTCTTATGGAAACTGTTTTTTCCGACCCTGGCTTTATAAGGCTGAAACTGGTCGCCGATGGAGATAGAGAATTCAAAATCATCACATCACATTCCTTTGTAGAAACGTCAGAAGGCATTTATTTGTCAGCTAATTTATTTATTAGCGATATTGTAAAACAAATCTTTCCTGCAAGTAAAGTGGGATTGCATGGTCCATGTATTTCAGATAAAAATCATGAACTTGATTTTGCGTATTGCCTGAGAGTTAATTCGTGGCCGGAAATTGCAAAGCAGTGGATATATAGACATAGGCATGAATGGCCTCCGAATAGTGTAATTGAGAAAGTTGTTAACTATGGTTGTCTTATGGTGCCAACCGGACCTAATTATTTGAAAACCAATAACCTTATGTGGAGATTATCTTTTTCTGTGGCAGAAAAACATCTAGTCCATTCATTTAATTACACTCAACTTTTGTGTTATGGTTTGCTTAAATTATCCATAATGTTCATTATCAAACGTAACAATTATACAAAAGATTTATTATGTTCATACTTCCTGAAGACACTGTTGTTCTGGGTATCGGAGGAAATTTCTATAGAAACCTTTCGTATTTCTAATATTTTTCACTGTTATTTCCTTTGCCTTGCTAAACTTCAGTCATGGATCTCGAATTGCTATTGTCCAAACTATTTCATACCTGCATATAACATGTTTCGAGGAAAGATAAATGCCAGCAATAATAATCGTTTACTTGTAGATATTTATTGTATCAAATGTATGGGGAATACTATACTAAACTCAGTTCTCAAACGTCAGTGTCTTCTATTACCGGATTTACTCGATGAATCCGAGGTCAAACAAGATTTTTTGCTTTATAGGACTTTTGTTATTTTGCCACCGAAATGGAAAGATGGCCTTCGGGGATTGGCGTTGGTTGAATCTTTACGTAAGGATGAACCATCTTCACTCATATTAAGTTTGTTGGAACGTTTTCATGATAATATCAATAAACACATAGTCCAGTTATCACCGCTAGTTTCCACACTGAATACGAAGACAAACTTCAGACGATATTCTAAACATTTGAATGACGCAGTCAAGACAGAGCCTGTTTCAGGTTTGCTGTTGTATGCTTCATTCTTCTACGTGACTGGGAAGATCGCCACAACTTTAGAGCTCATAGAAAATGTACTTTTAAGATGTACACCTGAAAAGATTTTACTAGGCAAATGTACCTATACGAAAACAGAAATAAAGAACTATGCGCAAAAGTTTGATTGTCAGTCTCGAAAACGTTGTGATAGAATTCGCCTTGGTACTATAGATGATGTATTATATCGACAACATTCTTTATTAATACCTGCAGAACTGCAACTAGAGGTGGAATATGAAAGTATGATTATACCTCCTGTTGTTATGGCTCACTGTCTGAAATATCTATGTTTTCATTGTCTTAATGATACCAGAAGGAAAGCACAAGCTTTACGAGATCTGTATTTGACTGTTCGCGAGGGATATTTTATTAGCAGACTGTCGATATCCAACTCTTTAACAGTTTTAGGTGTATGCTATGAAATGAATGACGAGAAAGACAAGGCTTTACAGAGTTATCATAAAGCTCTACAATGTGGTGATACGATTTGCAGATCCGCAGCCATACGGAAATCTAAACTACTGTAAAACTTGGGTATAAGAACTTTTTTATATTATTGCAAAGAGTTTTGCTTTCTGGTTTCAATTATCAGAACTATACGCGGGGTTTCATGTTTACATTTTTTTCAACTGTTGTTTTGTTGGTAGAAAGTTATGTGTTCCAGAAATATTATCATTGGATATTTTAAACTTTGTACCAATATCTGAATACCCTGTTTATATAAAATGGGAGTTATATGGTATACAATTTATAAAGGACATTGTAGATAGTCAAAGTAAATCATTGTTAACATTTCAACAAGTAAGACAAAAACTCAATTTGGAATTTTTTTTTGAAATACTATAGTTTATTATCTAACATTCCAAAATATATAAAAAAAAATACATCATAGATTATTGTGATTTGAACTTAGAAAATTTTGTTCCTTTGGATGCATTTTCTTAAAAGATCTTGCAAAATAAGTAGTTGAAATTTGCATGCAGAGATCTTGTAAATAAAATATGCATACTCCCATATGAGAAATTTTTCAAATGGGAGGAAGTAACAAATTCTAAAATCTCAGAATGGTCTAAGTATTTTTCTCTTTTGAAAAGATGTTGTAGGGATACATATTTAAAGATTTTGAATATAAAATATTACATAGAATTATACCTACCAATTCATTTTTATATAGAATTAAGCAAAAGGAAACAAGTGTATGTACCTTCTGTAATGAAGAAGAGGAAACAATAGAACATCTATTTTATGATTGTAATGTTACCTATAATTTTTGGTTGTCATTTTTACAGAAAATCAAATAATTTGATGAGCAATTCAGCATCAGTAAGAAAGAAATTTTGTTGGGATCTATTACTAAGAGTTTGTTTATTAATTTGTTAATTATTATAGCTAAAAACTACATCTTCAGATGTAAGTTAAGAAATATAGCTCCTAGTGTAATAGGACTTAAATCCAGAATAAAACAATACCAATCTAATGAATTTTATATTGCAAACAAAAATAATAGAGCAGATGCTTATAAAAGATTCTGGTCCCCACTACATACAATTTTTTCGTGATTTATTATCATTTATACTTTAAATTATACCGTAGTAAACAGTTGATATTTGATTTTTACTTTATATAGACATGTATGCATACTAATGGTAAGATTGCAGTGACTGTGTGTTAGTAGTGAGAGAAAGTGTGAGTGTGAGTAGGTATTTTTTTCTTCAATAACTATATTCTTGTATTATGAATATGAATTTAAAAAAAACAAAATGGATAGTCTTGTATATAATTTTCAATTTTTACCCCAAAACCATAGTCAGGTGGTGATTGTAGGGGTATTGTAAAATCCTGACTATTGAAAAACAAATTAAAGATAAACTTATAATTTCAGTCATGTTCACATATATATTTATTGATCTTACCCTGCTCATAATTTTTCCTTTTAAAAGATCCATCTGTTATAGATTTCAGGATAATAGGCAAAAATATGCAAAAAAATGTAAAAAATATAATTAATAAATAACTCAAATAATGAGTGGACTGAGGATTTCGACCATAATGGTTTATTGTAGATCTGCTCTTGCTGACCATTTGTGCTTTTTAAAGTTTCAATCTATCTATTACAGTTTTCCAGATAATAGGCAAACTGGGGAAAGTCGTCATTAAAGAGCAATAACTTCATGTTTATAAGGAGTCGACAGACGATTTCTGTCATGTTGGCTTAATTGTAGAGCTTGTCTTGCTGCTGATCATTTTGGCTTTTAAAATTTTTATCTACCTGTCATATTTGTGAAAAATCGGCTTTAAGAGCAATAACTCTAATAAGGAGTCAAAAGAAGATTTCCGCCATGTTTGACTTATTTGTAGATCGTGTATTGCTGATCATTTCTGCTGTGTAAAGATTTTATTTATTCATTATAGTTTTAAAAATATTAGTCAGTAATACAAAAAAATGGTGAAAATCACCATTAAAGGGCAATTACTCTTATAAGGTTTGACGAATTTGGTCATGTTTGTATTTCGATCAGTTTTGTTATTAACAGTTTCTGTCCATCTATCATAATTTTCGATATAATAGGCAAAATATATATATATTAAAATGGTCGAATTTGTCATTAAAGGACAATATACCCCTTAGAAGAAGTCGTCTAACAGTTTTTACTTAAATAGATAAAGGTAGATCTCAACATTCAGAACATTTTTGCCCATTAATCAGATTTTCTCTATTTGTAGCATTTTAAGAATAATCGACAAAACTTCCATTTTACCCCTGTGATCTTTATTTAGCCATGTCGGCCATCTTGTGTAGGAAGAAGGGTTATCAGACACATGTTGACCTATTTATAGATCGTGTTTGGCTGATCGTTTTAACTGTTTAGTTTTTCTTCATCCACCAAGGCTATCACCAAAAAATGCATACAAATCATCGTTAAAGGGCAATGACTTCCATAAAGAGTTAAGCGACATAAATAGCCATACTGACATTATTTTGTACATAAAATAGGCCGTTAGTTTTCTTGTTTGAATTGTTTTACATTTGTCATTTTAGGGCCTTTAATGGCTGACTATGCGATATGGACTTTGCTCATTATTGAAGGCCGTACGGTGACCTATAGGTGTTAATTTCTGTTCATTTGGTCTGTTGTGGAGGGTTGTCACATTGGCAATCATACCACATTTTCTTTTTTTCATATTGTATATCTGATCCTGCTGATCCCTTTTAATTGTTGTTTAAAGTTTCTAATTCTTATATTTATGTACTTTTGTACAATATTGAAATGGATTTTGCTCATTTAATTTCCATAAAATTTTGACAAGATATTAACTTTGACCTGTTGTACAAAAAAGAGGTAAAACCATACATATTTATTTTTTAATGATTATCTGAAATTTTAATGTCAAATAGACAATTAGGTACATGATTGCATTTCTTTTTTTTTAACAACGCAACTTGTTAAAGGTTTTGTTTAGTCCTCTTGTTTTCATAGATTTTATATTCCTTGAATCACGTTTTCACAGATAAACATATTTTTCCTTTTCAAAGTGCTCCAAAATCGTCTGCTTTAGTTCTTCATATGAGTTGAACATAGCGCTTATTTCAAGTTTTTTTTTACAACGAAGTGTAGTCTTCCATTTACAAAGTTTAACGTCATTGATTTTAATAAAAAAAAAAGAAAAAAAAATCATTTAGTTTAATAAATATCTAAAATAAGATCGGCACAATTGCTAAACTCAATATAAATCGATATTTTGCCGGAGCCGGAAAAATAGCCACTGCCTTACTTAAATAAAATGTTTCAGCTAACAGGGCCTGTATTTTCATTCAAGGTGACTGTAAACTGTTTTGTGTGGATGAAAAAAAAAGAACAGGCCTGCTCATGCAAATGTGTATAGTAATTTAAAAACAATAACACCTTTAACTTCCTCTAGATAAAAGAAAACCACAAAAAGTCCCTTGCTGAACACGTTAGTCATGAAACACAGAAACAATCCACAAAAAGTCCGTTGCTGAACCCGTTTAATCATGAAACACAGAAAAAAAACCCACAAAAAAGCCGTTGCTGAGCACGTTTAGTCATGAAACACAGAAAAAACCCACAAAAAATCTGCTGAACACGTTTAGTCATGCAACACAGAAAAAAACCACAAAAAGTCCTTTGCTGAACACGTTTAGTAATGAAAAAAAGAAAAACGACAACAAGTCCGTTGCTGATCACGTTTAGTCCTGAAATACAGAAAAAAAGCCACAAATAGTCCGTTGCAGAACACGTTTAGTCATGAAACACAGAAAAATAACCACGGCCCGGAAAGTCCGTTGCTGAATACGTTTAGTCATGAAACACAGCAGAAAAATAAGAATGTGTCCATAGTACACGGATGCTCCACTCGCACTATTTTTTTTCTATGTTCACTGGACCGTAAATTGGGGTAAAAACTCTAATTTGGCATTAAAATTAGAAAGATTATAGGTTGCATTTTTGAAATATAGACAATACAATTTCCCATAGAAACTCCCTTTGCGGCTAAAACTGTGACACTTTTACTATGAAGTCTCATGAAAAATAATATCCTAGAATATAAAGTTGATATGCACTACTTTTTTATTCAAAGGTTAACATATAGGGCTGTGCGGCATATTTTCAACATTTATGTGCCCCGAACTTGTTAGTGTTTAAACTTAATTCACTAAAATTCTGTACTACCCCTACCTCCACTTTTTGCCTACTTCAGAATTCAATTTTCATCGCATCACTATATTTTTATACTGGTAACAGTCCCAAGTTATGTCTCTATGAGATGAAACATAGAGATCATATCTGCATGGGAGCCAGTACCTAAAAAAAACAAATTATCTATGAATATCTTATATCTCCCCAAAAGAGGCGTGGTTTGAGAAACAGCTGTATTTACAAAGTGCAACATATATATCATAGGAAACATGTGTACTAAGTTTCAAGTTGATTGAATTTCAACTTCATCCAAAACTACCTTGACTATAGTGGGGTATTAGATGTGATATCCCGTTTTTAATAAGAATACTACAGGTGTAGCCAAATCTACATGCAACCAAAACTTTGTATCAATGATATAATTTAATAAAAGTATAAAAAACATGACTTTGTGAAATGCTAAAATATAAGTATCGAAAGAATGTGGCCGGACTATGACTATGAGCATTCATATCTGTATATATAGGAATACATAATTAGTTATGTTTGAATTTATTAATATTTTTTTTGTCAAAGATCTTATTTACAGTATTGAAAATTGATAGCCTTTAATCTAAGTTTGAAAGGGCCAATACGTCTACATGGATTGTATCTAACTTACAGGCTTAAATAAAATTTATCAGTTATCTGAAATTTAGAAAGTCACTACAGAAACGGGCATAACGAACGCGTTTGGATAAGTAAACACCTTCAATTAAACAAAAAGGAAACTCGCCGTCCAAAAGAGGAAAATTGGCTATGACAGGGGCGGGTCCATCCATTTTTAAAATTGGGGGTTCCAAACCAGGAAAAAGGGGGTTCCAAATATATGTCGATATTGAAATGCATTGATAAAAGGGGGATTCCTACCCCCGGAACCCTAACCCCCATGGATTCGTCACTGAATGAGCCTCCTCATAGGGTTTTTGATTATATGATTATTTGGCCGGTTTTATATTGATTATTTGATTACCAGACCAAATATTTCATGATCATTTGAATCTAGGACTGTATTTTTGATTATTTGATTATCTTGTTTAAAAAATAATTATGATTATGTGATTATATTGGCAAAACATTTGTGATTATGTGATTACTTAGACACCCCCATGAGGGGCCTCCTGAATGGGGAACGTGAACTCTGAACCGTTTGTCGTAGTTTTTGTGTACTAGTTGTCTCTTTGACATATTCCCCATTTCCATTCTCAATTTTAGTATAGAGTTTCCCTCTTAAAACATGCTACACCAAGACGAAGAAAAGGACAGTTATTGGAACGGTTAAGATTTATTTGGGTAAATATAAAAATAAGAGGATGTGGTATGATTGCCAATGAAACAACTCTCTACAATTAAGAGACCAAATGACACAGAAATTAACAACTATAATTAAGTCACCGTACGACCATCAACAATCATGAGTTAAGCCAATACCGCATATTCAGAGCTACAAAAATGACAAATGCAAAACAATTCAAACGAGAAAACTAACGGTCTGATTTATGTACAAAATAATAATTGAACTAAAGACAGGCTCCTGACATGGATATGAAGTTAGCAGCCGGTTCGTTATTCGATATTCGATATTCAATATCCAACCGGCTGCTAGCAGTCGGTTCGATATTCAAATTAAGTTGAAAATCATCAAAAAAATAAATACTTGATAACATTAATAGTATGATTTTCATAGTTAAAAGGAATAATAAATTACGTAGGAAATCGTTTGTCCTCGAATATAAACCTTTTTTGTAAGTTGCATATTTGTCTTTATGTACAATAGATTTTTATTAATAATTAACGACTTCAAAGATGTAATTTTATATGTGATATTTCTTAAAACAAAAAGAAAAACCGATAACTCTAGAAAAATTTAGAACTATTTAAATAGAAATATTTATGGAAAGCCCAAAAAAGAAATACGGATATCTACGGAGGGTTTAGTTTGTCACTTTTCAGCTAAAAATTGGCAAAATTTCAGGACAAAGGGCACAGGGCAATGGTGACAGCCCCCTGATCTCTCAATCTTTCTAATATTATGCAGACATTTAGTTAATAGGTAGATACAAACGTGATTAAAAGGAATTTGGGTAAATTTCCTGTCTTCCATATTTACGGAGGTCCCAAAGTGCCAGTTTGATATTCAAAATATATAGTGAAAACCTACCTGAGACC